AGGGGGAGGGCAGTTCCTAAGGACTTCAGATGGGGAGGCACGCCCGGTGGGCTGAGTAGCCTGTCTGCCCTCTGAAGTGAAGTGTGTGAGTAGTGGCACCCCCAGGTGGTAGGCGGGGTCACAGCACTCACTTCAGGGGTTGCTGCCAGAACCAGGTGTGAGCCAGTAAGCAGCCTTTCCTCCCTCCATGAGGAGCCCGCCAGCTGTGGCTCCCTTCCCCCACCCTGCCAGTGGAGCAATTACCAGATTGAAACAGGCTGCGCCCTGGAACCCAGCCGACTCTCCAGTCACCACAATCTCTTGAACCCCAATCTCTGGACTCTGGGTGGTGGCCAGATGGCTTAGGAGGGAGCCCAGACCTCTGGGCTTCCCGAGGCTCTTCCCCAGGTCCCTGGAGGATTTGGGGGCTCCCAGGAGCACCTAGCCATTGCTGGGAGTTAAAGAGACAAGATTATCTGTTCTTTCTTCACCATAAAACACAGAGCCAGAAGGGACATTTGAGGTCATCTTCACGGAACCACCCACTCAATCTAGAAGCCTTGATCTAGCATCCCAACAAGGTGGCCATTCAGGCTCCACTTGGATACCTCCAAAGGTGGGGGAGCTCAACACCACAAATCTGAGGGCTGTTGCATGGGGCAGGTCATGAACTCTGAGAGTTGAACTGGAAGCATTACATGGACTAAGTCACATCACAATCATGGTCAGCCAAAAGTGGAAGACCTTTTTCTTCCACAGGAGTTAAACCTAATCCGTACCACAGAGAGGCAGTGTGTGAGGGGGAAGCCCCACAGGGAATTCTAAACCAGAAACCCCTGTTTCAGTCTTGACTCCGTAACTTACCAGATGGGTGGCTTCTCTAATCATCTCTACCTACCAAGCTGTATTCTTCTTATCTGTAACTCAAACTTCACAGTCCAATAATAGGCAATAGTCATAAATGAGTATTGAACCCTTGAAATGTGGCTAGTATTGAGGAATGAACTTTTTAAAAAATTAATTTAAATTAAAATTTTAAAGCCTGAATTAGTTTTACAAACATTTTAATAAACATTTTTATATTGATTTCACATTGAAATGACAATATTTTGGATAGACTAGGTTAAAGTATTCTTAAAATTAACTTCACCAAAAAAGGAATTTCACCTGTTTCTTTTTTAACTTGCCCCCTAAAAGATGTAAAATTAAAAATGTGGCTCACATCATCGAACAGGGCAGCGCTGACCCAGAACATTAAGGGTCAAGTTAGGTGGCTGTGCAGGTGTGTGAGGACAGCTCAGCTACAGACAGATTACGGTTTCTGTGGCTGCCAGGTGCTCAAGCGCGTGTTTCCCATCAATCATACAAGCAAGACCTGCTCATTCCAGAAATAAGAGAGAATGTGGGAAAACATTAAAAACAAAACAAAAATTGCCTGTAATTCCACCACCCCAAAACAGCTACTATTAAACTTTCAAGCCCTGGCTGGTGTGGCTCAGTGGATTGAGCGTTGGCCTGAGAACCAATGGGTCGCAGTTTGATCCCCAGTTGGGGCACAGGCCTGGGTTGCAGGCCAGGTCCCCAGTAGGGGGCGTGCGAGAGGCAACCACATTGTTGTTTCTCTCCCTGTCTTTCTGCCTCCCTTCCCCTCTCTCTAAAAATAAAAATAAATTAAAAATCTTGAAAATAAATAAATAAACTTTCTAGAGCTTTTTTCTATGCATGTCCATGTGACCTAATACTCCCTGCAAACTAGCCTGCCTGGCTTTAGGGTCTCAGAAAGGTCACACAACAGTTTAGCCCAAAAGTCAGGGACCTTAAGGAGCCCCCATCAGCTGATGGCAGAACCTGGAAACTCCGTTGTTATTACTGAGCCCTGGAGAGGGCACCAGCCTGGGGAGGGGAGGGGCTGCTCAGCCAGCTACTGCTGGAAACGCCCTCCCACCTGCTCCTGTCTCCGCTGGTCACCTCTCTCTTCAGCCAGTAGGGAGGCCCTTTCCATTTTGTGGGGAGAGGGAAAGGCTCCAGAGTGGAGCTTCTGGGGTCCCAGGCAGTGGAATTCTTTCCGTTGTATCCAGCGGCCCTCTCCCTTCCAGAGCCCCTGGGTCAGGGGCCCTTCTTGCTACATCTAGAACCTACACTCCCTCCCAGCCCATGTCCAGGTCTGTCCCTGACTTGGCACCGCCCCCATGTGAGACTTCTTCCTCCTCAGAGTGACCCTTGGCCCCTTTCAGAAATCTGATTTTCTCCTGCACAACCCCTCAAGCGCGTCTGTATGTCTGTCCAGACACAAACCTGGAGAGGGGTCTCCATCACAGGAGCTGCAGGGCTCCAGACAGAACCGGAAACTATCTTGTACCTTGCTTTCTCCACTTGGCTTCAAACAGGAACGTCTTTCTGATGACACATCACTTCTCCTGGTGGCTTAGAGCCCCCCTCCCCCCGCTTGACTATGCCATTACTGTTCACCCAATGGCATCACGGTTTCTTAGGCGGGCCCCAGATTTTTGCTCTGAGAAGTACCACAGCAGTGATCCTCCTGGCATACTTTGCTTACTTTACTCTCATATTCTTGCATCTAAGAAATTCTTAGTTCTCCCTCCTCAGTCACCCAGCAAGTCCTGCCAGGTGAGCTGTGCTGGACCCCTCCCCGCCCCGTGTCTCCCTTGGCCTGGCACTCAAGGCCACCACGCTCCTGAGTTCAGTCTGTCTTTCCTGCCTCACACACCACCAGGCCTCAGATGTGACCGGAGTTCTGACCGCATCAAACAGGGCGGTGCTCCCACGTCTGCGTTCCTCTCAGCTTCCCTGTTGGCTTCTGCGGTCCCAATGCCTGGCACATCTGCCCGTCTCCAACTCCTCCTCATCCTCCAAGAACCCACTCAAATGCCCCCTCTTCCAGGAGCCCTTCATAACTCTGCAAGCTAGAAGTAATCCCTCCCTCCTCTGCATAAAGATAGCATGACCTGGTCCACTCCCTTATGGTACTGATGTAACCGTCTACCTTGTCCACTGGTTACTTGAGGCTACTTGTGTCCCCAGTGTCTGTGTCTATCTCCTTTCCCACCCCCGAGCAGAGCAGGAGCTGCTTGAGTTCGGGGACTGACTCTGACTTCTTTCTGTGGGCACAGGGCATGGCATAGAATGCACATGAATGAAGGAGGACAGACCTGGAGTTGGAGTCTGAGTTCCAGTCCAGGGGGCCACCAGTGCTCTGTGTGACCTGGGGCAGGTCCTCCTCTCTCGGGGCCACGGCTTCCCTGTGGCCCAAAGTAGCGGGACCTCACTGTGGGGATTTGTGGTCAGGACACAGGCTGGCCTGGGCTGACATGCTGGGCCTGGCCTGGGGATGATCTCTCTCATGGACAGTGATTGAGAGTGGCCCCCCATTATCCCTGGCCACATAATCTCATAATAAGCCCTTCGGGATTTCTGTCTGAGACCCACCCTAAGCCCATCTCTAACATTTGGCATCTTGGCAAACAGCAATGAACAGAGATTGTAACCATTAACTCTTCATTCATTCATTCATTCATTCATTCACTCATTCATTCTCTTCTTGATTCAGCAAATGGTTGCCAAGCTATATTCTGTCGGGTCCTGTGCCTGGCTTTGTGAACCCAGCTTTGAACCAGAACTAGGCCCAGCCCTAGAGGCACTTCCGGGAATAGTCAGCAACTTAGTAAAGCAGGCCTAGGACAGACAGCCAGCACAGGGGTTGTGGGAGCCCAAAAAAAGGGGCCTTCACCCTGCCTGGTAGTCAGGGAAGGCTTCCTGGAGGAGGACAATATTGAACTGTGTCTTCACAGAAGTGTGGGCCTTTGCTACTGCGAGCAGGAAGAGCAGGTTGCTCACAGACAGCAGCTGCAGCCCGGGGCTGGGAGAGGCTATGGTGCTCCACCTGATGCTGGATGCTGCCTGCTGTGGCCTAGTGATAAGAGGTGCGGGGAAAGGGGCAGGATTATCCATTCTTGTTTACATGATTAAAACCAGACGAATACTTCTTTTATCTGAAAGAATGAAAGGGCTTGGGGAAAAATCCTTTTGGCAGCAAAGCCACGCATGCATCTCCTTAACTAATCTCTCATTCCTGCCCGCCCACCCCCCTCCCACAGTCATGAGAAGAGTAGCTCCAGGCTGGCCCACACTGGTGGGCAGAGAGTCCAGGTCAGGGTGAGCAGGGGGCGGGCAGACCCAAGAGGAGAGAGACCCACAAGCCCCCTCGACACAGCCTCCCACGAGGGGAGTCTGGGCCTGGGCACTAACCCAAGATGGCCAAAGGGTGGCACCTCTCAGGGAAAATCTAACCATGGCCCCACTTTATAGATGGGCATCCTGAGGCCCAAAGATGCGGGAGTGACCTGCTTGCCAGCGGGCAGAGCTAGGACTAGGACCCAGGTTGCCGACTCCCAGCCCGGGGCTCTGACTGACTCACTCACTCACTCATGAGTTTATTCAGCAAGCCTGCAGTAACCACCTACCTGGTGGCAGCACCAGGCGCTCGTGCTGGGCACCAGGGACCCACAGAGGAGTCAGACCCATCCCTCTTCTCACATGTCCTGAGTCTGGTTGGAGAGACAGATGGACAAACATGATAGGAACAACAGGGCCATGATGGAAAGGCCTGGGGCAGTGGGAACCGCCGTGGGCTCCTCACCCTGGGGGAGATGCAGGCAGTCCAAAAAGATTTTACCGAAGAGGTGGCACCTAGCTCAGTCTTACCAAGGGAGTAGGAGTTGGCGAGTGATAGAAGCTGATCAGAGGACATGAAACAATGGCAACGGTACAGGGAAAGGCCCAGTGGTGGGGAAGGACTTGACCCTGACCATGCGGGAAAGAGCAGAAGGGAAGGAGAGGCTAGAAGGAGCCACGAAGATGAGATTATGGGGGCGGGGGTTTGCATGCCGGCATGTCCCCTGGAGTACTGTGAGGGTGTGGGGCAGGGTGGGGGAGGGGCAGCAAGGGTGGGTGAGCCCAGGGCCTGCCCCACCCACAGACTGTGACCCACATCGCCCTCCCAGCCTGATATCCAGCCTCGCCTCTCTGGATGCCAAGACCTCCGGCCGCCTGGGCATTCTCACTGTGGCATACTACCTGTGGACCACCTTTGTGGCAGTCGTCGTGGGCATCATCATGGTCTCCATCATCCACCCAGGCAGGGTGGCCCAGAAGGAGGCGACGGAGCAGAGCGGGAAGCCCATCATGAGCTCAGCCGATGCCCTGCTGGACCTCATCCGGTAACCCTTGCCACCTACACCCTGCTGGGGAAAGCCGTCCTATCCCAGGCTGGGGCTGCGGCCACACAAGCCCACCCCACGTGTCCCAGAGGTCAGGGACAGGGGTGGGGGGAGTGCATGCTCAGGGTCTGCCCTGGATTCTCATGGTGACAAGGCGGCAGCCACGGGGGCCGCTCTTTGCCCCTTTAGCCCCTGTGCTCCCTCTGCTCACACTGCACATTTCGCCCCCGCTGGCCGGGAGTGCCTCCAGGGCAGGTCGGGGCTGCCCCTCTGCCAGCCCAGGCCCAGCACACAGCCTGGCACAGAGCAGGCCCAGTGAGTGTTTGCTGACTGACTGCGCTCGCCTGTGCACACCCTGCCTCTCAGGTGGAAGGCCAGCAGTCACAGGTCGCCCCCCGTCCACTGCCCTTTCCTTTTTGGTCCCCTGTTTACAGGCTGTCTGACTCCAAGTGTAGGGCGTTCTCCCCTTGCATTGCCCCTGCACGGGCTCTGCTAACTGTTGGTTTCACACACCTGTGCTCGCCTCCCAGGAAGGCACTGTAGACCCTGTGGTACCTGCACGTCTGACTCCCCTCCCCAGACTCCCAACAGACCACCCCTCTCCTCTCCAGCCTCCTCACGAACGCCGGCCCCCTGCCAGGACACTTAGAGCTGCCCTAGACCCAGGGGAGAGGAAAACCCATGACTAGACAGGACAACATGGGGGTGGGGCTCTGCTGGGGAAAACAAGGGCTGGGGGTGTGGGGTGGGGCAGGGGCAGAGGAGGCAAAGCTGCTGCTGTAACGGATGGGGTGAGTGGGAGGGCAGGGGGCCAGAGACATGACAGCTGTGCAGGCCCTGAGCTGCGAGGGAGAGCTGTGGGCAGAAATCACGGCCCCTGCAGTGTGACTGGGCATGAGGAATGCAGCTGGTGGAGGGGAGGGGCTGGACAATCACTGCACAAGGCGGTGGTGCTGGACCGTGAAGAGCATTGTGAACCAGGTCAGACATTATGTTTTATTCTGAAATGGGTTCTAAACATGGGGGAAGAGGGCGGAATGAAGGGCTGCTCAGGAGGTAAAACCAGCAGGAGACAGGCAAAGTGAAGGGGAGGGTGGAGGAGACGGTGGTGCTGATAGCATGAGGGTTTCAGGTCTGAGCACCCAAGCGGATGGCGGTGTAGTCCCCAGACCAGAGGACGGTGTCAGCGCAGGATGTCCCAGGGGAGATGCCTGCTGATGGTTGGCTAGTGCATCCGCCTAGTGGGAGAGTCCGACCTGGAGAAGGGGATCGGGAAACCAGCAGGGCAGAGGCGATAGGTGGACCTTGACAGCGGAGGGGTCTCCCAGCACAACGTGGGTGAGGACAGCGGTAGGGACAGAGCCCGGGAAGCACCCTGTTGGAAGCGATTTATTGGGCTCAGCAAGATTCCGCATCAGATGTGCTCTGTGGACTCCTTCTAGTCCCTTTCATTTTCCTGCCAGTCTCAGATGTAAGAAATCCAGTCCAGTCTAATATTAAAACTCCAGACTCATCCGAGTTAAAATGAATCCTGTCTTAGTGTTTTGCATCTCATTCAAACTTGGAAACCTGGAGTGGGAAGAAGGTTATAGTAGGTTTTTCTGTTTCTTGCTCCATCCACTGCCCTGTTGCTGGGACCAGGGCTGGAGCAGTGGAGAGAGGAGAGAGAGTGGGCTGGAAGGTCCTCCCCCACAGGTGCTGGAGTGAGCTGGTATAGGCACTCCCGAGTTGTATTTCTTCAGGGTGCGTTTGTGGGTTCTTCGGAGCCCCTCCTGTCACTGGCGTCTTCCTTGTCATTCCCTTGACTTGGGCAGTCCCGGCTCGTCTGGCTGCTTCTAACGCCGTCCTCAGGCCTGACCTCTGGTCACCTCCTCTTCAGAGGTCACCTCACCCTTGGGTGACCCTTTTAGGCAGGGTCCATATCTGGCTCATGGGAAACATACATATCTTTGCTGGAAGTTCAGGCCTTTCCCAGGGCCTTTGGGCGTGAGTCAGGCGCCAGCCCCGACACTCCGACACTCTGCAAACCCTAAGGGACAGTCCTGTCCTCGCCTGTGGAGATAGAAGCCCAGCACACAATTCTCTCTCTCTCTCTCTCTCTCTCCCTCCCTCCCTCCCTCCCTCCCTTCTGGCTTCCCTGTCTTCTTTCTTTTCTTTTCTTTCTTTCTTTCCTTCTTTCTTTCTTTCTTTCTGTCTTTCTTTCTTCTTTCATTCTTTCTTTCTCTTTTTTCTTCCCATCCTTCCTTCCTTCCTTCCTTCCTCTCTCTTCCTCCTCACTCTCTCCATCCATTATTAATTGCATCCATTATTATTAGTAGTAGCAAACCCACCCAAGACCTAGTGGCTTAAAACGACAGCTCTGAGTCTCTAAGTCAGCTGGAAGGTTCTGTGCCTGCAGGCAGCTGGTCACTCACCTGGGGAGCAGCTGATCTAGGGTGATCTCAGCAGATGAACTCCTGTGATCTCTCACCCTCCAGGGGGCCAGCCTGGATTTACTTCTTGGTGATGACGGGATTCCAAGAGAGAGAGCTGGGCTGGGCATATTCTGATGATGAAGGCAGAGGACCATGTAAGTGTTTTTCCAAGTCTCTGCCTCTGTCAAGTCAGTTAACATCTTTTTTTTTTTTAATTGTTCAAGGTCAATTAACATCTTATTGGCCAAAGCCAGTCATGTGGCCAAGCCCAAACTCAGGTGAGAGGGGACCACAGTATTACCAGGCAAAGGGCGTCCATGAAAGGGAGCCACGATGCCATCAGTCTAGCACCCCCTTCACTCTCTCCGTTCTCTGGGTTCTCTTTATCCTTTGAGGTACGTGATGAACTAAGGATCGCAAACATACTTACAACTTTGTTCCTGTCGTGTGGTTCTCAGCCACAGGGTCTGGAGCCGGAAAGAGGCCAAACAGGGTGTGTCGTGCCCTCACTCACTTGCCTCGTGATTTCATCCCGCACCGTGACGATGAGTCCTTCTGTACCCCGACGCTGAAAAGTTTTGTTTCTGGCCTGGAAACCTGTCCCCTGCCCTTCAGATTCTTACATACAGTTGTCTGAAGGCATCTCGAATTTAACACGCCCAAAGCTGGGCTCTTGATTTCCCCGTAAATCTGCCCTGTGCTCAGTCTTGCTCCTCTTGGGCTGGTGTCTCTCATTCTCTCCTCTCCTGCCTCCAGTTTGTCAGCAAGTTTGTCAGCTCTCCCTTCAATATAACATCCCAAACTTTGTCTCTCCTGTCCCCCTCTGCCCCCCCCCCCACCATTGCCCAGACCACCACGCCCTCTCACTCACTCTGGTGTCTGACAAGGTCTCTGCTTCCCCACAGTCTGTTCTCAGCACAGCAGCAAAGGAATCCTTTCTAACATCTGCTCACAACCCTTCACACAACAAAATCCAGTGTTTTCTGTGATCTACAGGCCCTCCACGAGCCCCCACCCCAGGCAGGTCGGCCTCCGACTCTGTGCCAGCTCTGCCTGCCCTGACCCCAGCCACGCCTGCCTCTGTGCCCCTCCTCCAGGTGTCACTAGGGTCCTGTCAGCATGCCTTGTCCTCACCTCTGCCTCCTGCAGGAGGTACTCAGCCCTCCTCTCCCTCCATTTACACCTCTGCTCTGTGTCACCTCTTCACAGGGACCTCTGTCACTCTCTCCTCATAGCCTCTGTTACTACTTGACACTGTCATGTCTGTGGACTTCTGTGTTTCTCTTTCTGTCTCCCCCACTGGAACAAAATATGCTCCAAGAGGGCTAGAGCATTAAAAACCCCGTGTCCCGCCATATCCTGGCGCCTAGGACAGCGGCTGGCACCGAGGAGCTGCACAGTGTTTGCTGGATGCGGACGTAGGACGTGGGGGCATCGGTGGGGTTGGGGTTTGAGCCCACAGGACAGGAGGGACTGCCTAGGGGGAGCGTGCAGAGCAGGTGGCCCGAGGCCGGTGAGCATGGCCCACCGCCGCCCTGAGGGCTGCAAAGCTGAAGGCAGGAGCCAGCTGAGGGCCCAGAGGAGGGCCGGGAGAGCAGATGCCCTGTGAGCCAGGGGAAGAGGAATTTCGAGATGTTCCAGTTCTAAGGTCCGTTATTTCTAAGAGTTGGTGACTATGATTCATTATTTCTTGGATTCTATGATTCAAAACAGCCTTCCCGCGTGGTGGAAAGACGTGATGATGGGGGTGGGGGCCGCCCTCCCACCACTGCCTCCGCTGCGCAGGGGCTGAGGGCTCCGGGTGGGGCACGCATGTCAGAGTCAAATGTTCCAGGAGCAGTTCCTGCTCTCAGCTCCTTTTCACGTGGCGAAAGTTGATCCTTCTGGTTTGAGGCTTCCCCCCAGTCACTCTCAGCCCCAAGGCAAGTTGCTGTGCAAAGCTGGGCGGCTGTCACTGTTTCTTAGAGAACGCGGCTGCAGGGGACCACACGTGCTCCCTGGGACAGAACCTTGGAGATGTGCCGTCTCGTCTCAGCTCTGCCAGTCAGTCACTGTGTGGCTCTGGGCAGGCCAGTCCCACTCTCTGGGCCTCAGTTTCCCCAGTGGTTTTCCGAATCCCTTCTAACTCTGGATTCTGAAATGCACTGGCCTCCAACCCCAGTAGGAGGCTGCCGGGCCTGAGCCAAAGCTTCTGGAGGCAGGCTCTGGGAGATGAGGTCAGGAGCACAGGGCAGAGCTCAGCCTGGAAGACCTTGATTCCAGGTGGAGGGCTGGGCTGTCATGCTTCAGAAGCAAGAAGCTGGCGAGTTGGGGAGGACATGCTGGAGCAAGGCGGAGTGCACAGTGGGTGGCTGGACGCACAGGGATACCATGGGGGTAGGAGCAGATTGCAGTCAATTCCATTCCCTTCGGCCCGCCTTTATTAAGTACCTGCTCTGGGGGGAGACGTTGAGCTGAGAGTTCGGGCTGTGGGGGGCAAATGCAAGCCCCTGCATCAGGCTGCCCAGCATCTTAGGACAGGCAGATGGGACAGGCACACTGGACAGCCACTCTCTGAGACCCTTGCTAGCCCTTGCGTTCCGAGGGGCTGTGCATACGACGAGGACACCAGCAGTGGGGGCACCGGGGGTCCCCTCACTCTTGCTCTGGCCCAGAGCAGATGCCCACCCACCATGCGTCAAAAACTAAACAGGAAAACGATGACCAGGGCAGGGAACTGGCGGCAGGTGTGACAAAGGAAAAGTCAGGAGGATGTGGGGGCCATCTGAGTGGGGGAATAAGGCCCAGGGCACCCCTCGGGGGTGGGAAGATGGGCATCTGTCTCTCAAAGATGATTCCAGAGGCAGATGGCGGGCCATGTCTCCAGATGCCTCGCCAAGACATGAGCCCGTTTCCCAGGCTCCAGAAAACTGGCGTCTGCTCACAGGGCAGCCAACAGAGAAACCCAAGCAGAACACTAACCGGAGTTTCTTTCCCTTCTTTCCCCCCACCCCCAATCTTATTAAAACACCAGAGAGGTTAAGTAATGGTTTGGCACTGTGTATAGCTCCCAGTTATCCTCTCGGGGATTGGACAAAGCTCCAGGAGCTGTGCTTGGGAAGGAACAATCCCCATCTCTAGGGTCTGGGCTGGGGACACGGGGTGAGGGTGAGTTTGGACTGTCACAGCAGGAGCTTATAAACAGTATGTGAGGAGAGGCGCCAAGAGGCACATTGTGGCCTTGCCCCGAGAGACGGGAAGGCAGGCCCGGCCGAGAACAGGGTGTGCGCACTCCATGGCCGTGGCATCTGTACTTTATGTAATGCCTCCAGGAGCACAGGCCCCACGGGGCAGGCGGGGGCCACCCGTGAGTGTTTAAGAGCAAAACAAGGTGCACATTTTCCCATTTCACAATCAAAAGTCGATTCTTTTTTAAAAATTTTAATTTTTTTATTTTCAGAGAGAGGGGAAGGGAGGGAGAAAGAGAGGGAGAGAAACATAGATCAGTTGCCTTTCACACATGCAGCCGGGGACCGAACCTGCAACTGGGCATGTGCCCTGGCAGGAATCAAACCAGCGACCTTTCACTTTGCAGATGATGCCCAGCCCACCGAACCATGCCGGTCAGGGCAAAAGTAAATTCTTTATTCAAATCTGCAGGACACGTTCATTGAGAATTAGTAGGAGCACCTGTATTAGTCAAGCATTGCCTTTGGCTGCTAGTTAAGATAAACTTGAACCAACAGAGGCTTAAGTCGGGTAAAGGTGGCGTTGTCTCCCAAACAAGCAGCCCAGGGTTGGGCAGCTCGTGGTCATTGGGTGTTCCCTGCACCTTTGTGCTTTACCATGCTCAGCACTCGGCTTTTATCGTCCGTGTGTCTCAGAGTCCAAGAAGGCTGCTGAAGCTCTGGCTGTTATGTCCATGTTTCAGGCAGAGAGAAGACAGTTGGAGGAAAGGACCAAAGGGTCCTGGCTGAGCGGGCACCTTTCAACAGTTTTCTGGAAAACATTACCCAGTGACCCCCACTCAGGCCTCAGTGGCCACCCCTTCAACAAGAGAGGCTGGGAAGCAGGGCTGGATGGCGGGGCCTTGCTGGTCCTGTAACATCCCAGGCTTCTGTTCATGAAGAAGGAGAGAGGACTGGGACTGGCTAGGCAACGAGCCATCCCTGCCATAGAACACATTTTAAGTTATTCTCATTTTGAAGGAAGTTCTAAAGAAATGTATATACTAGGCATGCTCCATTCTGTTTCTTATGACCTTCTGAATGTGCTTAGTTTCTGCTCAGGCTGAGGCAGCCTTTCCTCTAAGTTACAGTAGAGACCCACCTCAGAAGTCACTTGAGCCTCGTGGAGCTGTACCCAGGGGAGCTTTGCAGACGGTCAGCAATCAGTACAGCGTGGGCACCGTCCACTCTGGTCGTGCGTGCCCTGGGCCGGCGGCCTGTGGCCCTCTGGCAGGCCGTGTGCCCAGCGGGTGCTTCTGGTCGGCTTGATGTCAGAGCCCTGGCAGCAGCTACTATTCTGGCGGCAGAAATCTGCTCATAACTCACTGGGAAAAGCCCCACTTGTGCTTCTGAGAGCTCAGCTCCCGACTCTGCTTCTTTGCTCCGGTGACGGAACTGAAAGCAGTGGGAGAAGCTGCAACCATTCTCTCCCAGTTTTCTGCCTCCACAGCTCATTCTGAGCCTCTTCCTCAGGCCACATGCTTACACTGAACCTGTATCTTAGCAGCAGGGGAAAAATGGGTAGTTTCTTCTTCCCAACAGTGGCTGCTGGGGTGTAAAGTTAAGAAAAAATGCACACTCGTATTTACCTGTATAACTCCATCTATGTGTGAGCCAAACATTGGAAGAGATTTACCAAGAAGACTGAGTGGGAGGGACGACCCGGGGAGAGGGGGCAGTGTGAGTGTGCAAGGAAGGGCAAGTGCGTGAACAAGAATCTTTGTTAGGATCCCTGATTTAGACGAGGTCCCCGGAAGCAGTGTGTAAAGACAAAGATATGATGCATCTAAGCCCCTCGATATGGGTTGCAAATTGCTTAACAGAAAGGTGGCCGCCAGGTCCACACAAGGGGCCCACACCTCCTCAGCAGTATGCATCATCGTGTGAAACACTCGTTACCAGTCTGATGGTGGGGATGCCTTTAATGTGTTGATAAAGCCGAACACTTTTAAAAAGCTTTTGGAGCTACATGTGTTTCTTCTTTGGTGAAGTGAAGTGCCTGGTTGTGACTTTCGATTGTTTTTCTACTGGGGTATTTGTGTTTCTGTGGTCCACTTATTTATGTAGCAGCAAATATTTACCGGGCACCTGCTCTGTGCCAGGCACTCTGCCGGGAGCTGGGGACGCAGCAATGACAAGACACAGACCTCTGCCTCCAGGGAGCGGGGGCTCTGGTGAGAGGGAACAGACAGTGAGCACGGAGCTGAGGGCAAGATCTGTGAAACCTCTTCACAAATGTGGGACAATAACCCCGTCAGACAGCTTCTCCGGCTTGTCATTTGCTTTAGAATTTTTACTTATATTATAATCTGTCTTAGTGAGCTTCTTAATTTTATTCGCTGTTTATGGAGGCATAATGTTAGGGTTACAGAAAAATTGCAAAGACAGCGCAGATTTCCCATGTGCCCCCATCCAGCCTCCTCTGGTGTCAGCTGCTGGCCTACCCGGCACAGTTTTCAAAACTGAAACTGAATTAGTGCAACTACTAACTGGATGACAGACCTTCTTTGGATTTCGCCGATTTTTCCACTGATGTCCTTTCTTCTGTCCCGGAACCCAGTCCCAGATATCGTATTGCACTTAGGAAATTCTTCATTTCAATGTAGTGACATCTGTTCATTTTTATTGCTCGTTTTGTTCTCAGTCCTTCCCTATCCTGAGATCTGATACAACATTAATCTATATTTTGTCTTAGTTTTTTATGGGTGCATTTGAAAATTGTTTACTTCTTCAAACCATCTGGGATTTATTGGGTACAAAGTACAAATAAGGATCTAACTTTTATTTTTTTGAAGCGTTGGTTGACTGCACAGTTGTCTATAATGAGGTTGTCTCTTCTTCACTGATTTGTGAAGCAACTTTTGTCAACTATAAAATGCTAGACAGCCCCCGGCTCTGTTTCCGGGCTACAGGTTCCATTACATTGGTTTTTCTTTGGACGGCTGTGCCAGCTTCTCCTCGTTTTGACAGCTATGTCTGTATAGTATTTTTCATATCTGGTGGACAAGACTCCCTCCTCCTTTTGCTTAATGAAAATAAAGTTACTCAATATTAATGAGAATAACGATCCCACTTATGTGCCAGGTCCTGGGTTGGACACGAGAGTGAGGAACGAACGACCACGTGCCACCTTCCAGGGAGTCAGTCAGGGAGGCAGCGTGTGAGCCACACTGTGCTCGGGAGAGTCGTGACTCGGGGGTGGGGCCCCAGAGCCGACCTGGAGCAGCCAGGAAGGCTTGGGCTCTGGTTGATTGGAGTAGCAGTTAGGGAGGCAGGGAGGGCATCAAGCAGAAATGAGAGTGTGAACACAGGACTGATTGGAAAAGACGCGGTGTGTTTAAGGGTCCGTATGCAGTTGGTGTTGGAGCCCTCAGTGCCCAGGGGTGGCCCGTGGTGGGAGGAAGTGCGGCTGCGGAGAGGTGGGCTGTGTCAGGGAGGGTCTTGACTGCCAGGGGAGGTGTTCAGATGATCCCAAGGCTCCTCCTGTCCCAGGCTCTGAAATTCTTCAATTCCCGACTGTCTTCCCAGGAACATGTTCCCGGCCAACCTGGTGGAAGCCACTTTCAAACAGGTGAGTGGGTGACAGGCCGGACCAGCCTGGGCCAAACTGGGAAGTGACAGGTTTACTGGCAAGTGTCCCCAGAACCTGGGGGCAGGGTGCTGGAGGGGAGGAGATGGGGGGAACCTAGATCCTCAGGGCTTCCCCAGGCTGCGCCTGCCCTGGCTTCCAGCTCTGTGTGGAGAAAAACTGTGAGGGTGGAGCGTGGCTTCACGGAGCGCCGCTCCGCTCCAGGTTTCGGGCAGGGCTCACACAGTCAATAACCGGCCCTTGGGTAGGGCTCACCCCTCTCCAGGGCGAGGAAACTGAGGCTCAGAGGGTTAAAGGGTTTGCCCAAGGATGCGCCGATAGTAAATGATAGCCCTGCGGGTAAGCCTAGGCCTGTCTGCTTCTAAGCCCGTTTTCTTTCTTTTTAAAATAGTTCTTTCCCCCTAATAACAATAGTACTAATGTTCACTATAAATATTAGGAAAATACTAAAAAATATATAACAAAATAAATCTCCAGTTTCAGCACCCAGCAATGGTCCTAGTAGCTGGTATGGTTTCAGTCTTTGTTCCCTCCAAATAAAATTAGGGTCAGTGCGCATCTTGCTTCCCCCCACTCCCATTATACTGTAAGTGTTTTCCCCAGTTATTCAGTGTTTTTAAAAATATGATATTCATGGTAATAAGGCTGGACTGTGATTTATTTGCCCATCTCCCTTCTGGTTCTCAGAGTGTTGCCCTTTTCATAGATCTTTGTGCACCAATAGTCTGCACTTCTAGAAGTTTCTAGTTCTTTCCCTTCTAAAACATTGGCTGCCTGGTTGACTTAGTCCAGCAGGCGTTTCCGGACCCCCGTCCCCGTGCTGGGCCCTGCCTGGGGTCTGGGGACGCAAGGAAGGGGCTGGGGGTTGGAGAGAAGGCTCCCCAATAAGGAGCTATGAAATCTCGAGCTATTATTGCTGACTTCTTGGGTCTTCAACACAAGAAATGAGCAGGGAGGGGAGGGCCCTAAATGCTAGACTAGGAGTTTGGACGTAATTCCAGCAGTGACGGGAGATCGCTGATGCTGTGAGAGAGACGGGGAGAACACCGCTGTACTTCACGCCTGCCAGGATGCCCTTCACCGTGTGGCAAACTCCTTCTTGTTCTTCAAGCCCCAGGTCAAATGCCACCTTCTCTGTGAAGCTGTGAGACTCTCTCAGGCAGAGTATTGCCACTCCTTCTCCAAGGCTCTCAGAGGAGACTTCACATCTGGTTCATTCTGTACGCCCAGCACCCCACGCAGAATGTTCAGTATCCGAAGGACATTGCTGCACGGTGGTGATAGCAGCGATGGTCCCACAAGGTGCACACACCGCAGGCTGGGCACTGCTGTGAGCACGTACATATTCAGGGTGGACAAAGGCAGGGTTACAGTTGTGAATACGTGAAACACAGAGTTTATTCCTGTGTTATTCTTATAATTTCTCCATATGAACAATCGTAAACCTACTTTGCCCACCACTGTTATTTAATCTAATGAGCGAGACATGGTTATGACCCTCACTGCACAGGTACAGAAACTGAAGCCCAAAAGCTTAGGTCGCATGTCCTTCCAGAGCAGTTCCTTCCCCCTACCCAAGGATCACCTCAGGGACACAGTGGCGATGGGAGGGCAGGAGACTCCCTGGTTTGGGATCCTAGGAACTGTAGCACGGGAGGGAAAGACCCAGAATGCCCTGGGGCAGAGGAGGACGCATAGGCATCTCAGGGGCTCAGTTCTTCACAGCCGGGACCTCATCTCATGGAGCAGGCTTGGGGCAAGGGGAGCTTTCCAAATGCAGCAGAAGTTGGAGCTACTGCAGGTTAAGTCCCACACCACCACAATAAAACGAGTATTGCAATAAAACAGGTAATAATGTTTTTGCTGGTGGAGGGTCTTACTTTCTATTTGAAACAACAGCAACAACAAACACAATACCTACGAACTGCAGCGAAGCGCGTTGCAGTAACATGAGGTGCACCTTCGGAAGGCCCCAGGGTCCATCAGGGGAAGGCAGGGCCGCTGACTGTTAGATAGATGGATGTTGGGTGGCTGGGAGGGATAGACGGGCGACGGAGAACTGCCCAGGCAGAGGAGGAAAGAGACAGACAGATGGTGAGAGAGGGACCCCGGAGGGCGTGACCATGCTTGGAAGGAAGAAGAGGGAGGAAGGAGGGAGAGGGGCGCGGCTGGCAGTGTGCGTAGGTGACTGAAGGAATCAGTTTTCTTTTTGGTAAAATATTGATGATAATCCCTGTCCTGCCTACCTCACAGGGTTATTGTCAATCAGATAGTTCATGAGCGGGTACAAATGTGCTTCCAAAATGTTTTATTCTTGTTGTTGTCAATGCTAATAACCACGTTGGCCCTGACCCCTTCCTGGTTGGGTGTCGCCCGCCAGTACCGCACCAAGACCACACCTGTCATCAAGTCCCCCAAAGTGGCATCAGAGGAGGCCCCTCCCCGGCGGATCCTCATCTATGGGGTCCAGGAAGAGAATGGCTCTCACATTCAGAACTTCGCCCTGGACCTGACCCCACCACCTGAGGTCATTTACAAGTCAGAGCCTGGCACCAGCGATGGCATGAACGTGCTGGGCATCGTCATGTTCTCCGCCACCATGGGTACGTGCGGCCCGCCTCACCCTGCCCTGCTCCCACCCCTCCCCGCACTGCTGCCTCCAGCGACCTGAGTAACCTCGGGTCTCCCGTCTTCCAGGTCGTCCCTTCCTTTCCCGCCCAGTGGACTGGTTCCAGCACCCCCCCGCCCCCACCGGTGGAGCCAGTGTTCCTCACTTGAATTCTCCATCCCTGGGGGCCAGGGTGCCTCCTGGGGTGCACTGGGCTCTCCCTGGAAAAAGACCATGCCTCTGGCCCCTCCTGTTCCTGAAATTTCTACTGAGGTCTGGGAATATTGGGGACCACGGGGAGGGAGCAGTTAACAATATTTAAAAAAACAACAGGAAAAATCTAAAAACTATCAGCCATCACTGTTTGTTTAAAGCCCTATTGCTACTCCCACCCGCACCGGCAGGGGCTTCTCCCTGGCGGCCTCTCTCCTGAGACCTGTCGGTGCCTTTCCTCGGCCCACAGCCGGCCCACCTGACCACTCCCTTCCCTGCGCGCCTCTCCCTGGGGCCCTAGACCCCCAGCCACAGGCTCTGTACCTGGAAGCTGGTGAAGCCTAACTTGCACAGGCTCCTTCTGAGGCCTGCACCTTATTTTGTTTTGAATTTTGTATTCTTTTTCTTAGAGAGGGCCCCACACTGTACAAGCTTCAGATCCCACAAAACCCATGGATCTGTCCCTGCCTGCAGTGCCTCAGCCCACCGCCACCACAGACACACACACATACACAGAGAACCTTTCCCTTTGGGGGCACCTCCTCTCCCAACCAGAACAATCTGGCTTGTCCTTCTGGGCCATGCCAGGGGTCACTGTGAGTCTTCTTCTAAAATTGGCATCAACCTTCCCCATCACCCCAGCCTGGGAGGTTCTCTCCTGCTTCTCTGACTAATCCACAGGGTTTTCTTTTCAAGTAAAAACCCTCCCCATCCTTCTGGTTGTTCATAGCAAGAAATCTGGGGATCATTTGCTGCCTCACCCTCCGTCTCAGCCCACAGCCAAAACCTGAAATCCGCCTGCAACCCCTGCATTTCCCTCCATCCACTGCCACCACCCTGGTCCAAGGCTGCCGTCATCTCTCAACTGGTTTTGGCAAAGGCTGCCTAAAGAGTCCCCTGTGCTGGTGTGTCCTTCTCACGGGGTCACAAGCACCCTCCAGTGGCTCTCCTGTCCACCTAGAAAGGGGCCTGACACCCAGCGGAGCTGGCTGCCTCCCACTCCTCTCTGCCCCTGTCACTCCCCCAACCACACTGCCTCTCAGCCCCCAGAGAATGCCTCCCTCCCCTGGCTGCACCCACCCCCTCCTCACCCAGCCCCTTTCTCATCCTGGAGGGTGGTAGTGATGGGGGGGGAATGGGGCTCCATAAGCATCACATCCTCAGGAAGATCTTCCCAACTTCCCAGATGGGTGCCCTGGGTTACTCCTTAAACTCTTGACCCGACTGCAGTTATGTAATCATTGGTGTAATTGTTCAACGTCTGCGCAGCAGCTGGCGGAAGCTCCATGCAGGCAGAGATGGGCCTGGCTTGCTGTCCGTTTATCCCCACAGCCTGCCCACCACAGCAACCGGCAGGAGGAGGCCCTCAGTAAAACCCGTTGGGGAGATGGGGAGATGGATGGGTGAATGGATGGGCAATGATGGATAGCAGGGCTCTTATCATCTCAGCCAAAACACTAGACATGTGGAGGGGCCAGACCTTAGTGGCCCAAGCATGTGACAAGACAGTGTTTGGAAGTGCCCTCAGCACATCTGAGAATGAGTCCCCAGTCCTGAAAATTCTTCCTGCTTTCAGCCGCCGCCTCTGTCATAGGGGTGGGAACACACCCAAAAACATCTACTGGCAGAGCAAATAGAAGCCCTGAGGCCCTCCGACTCAATTCACAAAGTGCTTACTGACCATGTGTAACTGTGCGTGGGTGAGTGTGGATTTGTGCGTGTGTACCCAAGCTAGTGTGTGCCCGAGCCTGTGTGTGCCTGTGTGTGCCCTCATCTGCAGTGCCAGTGTCAGCGCGTGCCCGTGTCTGAGGTCCAGGGTACACTCCTCGCTTTGTCCCCTCAGCCCGGCCTCCCTTCCCAGCCTCTCCCTGGTGCTGGGCTGCGGCTGATGCTGGGCTCTCACTGGCCTTTGCTGCTGCAGGAAGCCCACACCCACCCCGGGTCCGATGCACACTGGCACCCAGCCAGACAGAGCCCTTGGGTGCCCCTAGAGAAATCTAAGTGGAGGATGATGAGGGGAGGGTCAGAGCAGGCAGGGGACCTGCTTCTGAGCTCAGTTAGGCTTCCACAGGCCGGGAGGGCAGGGCTAGGCCAGTGTCACCTCCAGTCGGGCCTCTCCCACCTCAGCAGGGTCCCCTCCTCATCCCAGTGGCGGCTGTTCCGAAGACAGTGTGGGCTCGGGGTTTCTGGGGGTGGGGAAAGAGCCCTCTCTGGAGTCCCGCAGGCCAGGTTTGAACCCCTGCCCTGCCCCTCCCTCGCTGGCTCAGTAGATGGGCCTCTGGGAGCACAGCACGGTAGCTTCATGAGGTCGGCCCCTGAAGAGGGAGCCGTCGCTGGTCACGGTTGGAAGAGTGGCCTGACTGTGCTCACGTGCAGGGAGCTCACCCGTGGGCCAGTCACATGTGAACACTTCCAAGTGGACAAGAGTCCAGAACCCCAATGGGAGAATAGCAGGGGCCCTGGGAAAGGCTTGTTCCTTTCCTTCCTTCCTTCCTTCCTTCCTTCCTTCCTTCCTTCCTTCCTTCCTTCCTTCCTTCCTTCCTTCCTTCCTTCTTTCCTTCCTTCCTATGGCTGAGCATCTACCATGTGCCAGCTGATATATAGTTCTTGCCCTCATGGAGCTAACCTTCTATTGGAGGAAACAGAAAAACAGAGAGCTGGAAAATCACAATTATAAGTGTGATAAATGATATGACGAGATCAGAAAGAGACGAGACAGAAGAGAACAAATTGGGAGTTTTCGAAGGGCAGTGGGGCAGTGGGTGTCCAAGGCAGGTGGCGAGCTGGGCAGCCATGTTTCGGGCATCGGGAACCACGTGGGCAAAGGCCCTGAGGCAGTGAAGAGCTCGATGTCTTCTAGAAATGCACAGACGGCCAGTGACGCAGAGCCTAGAGAGGATGGCAAGAGCAGCCAGAGAGAGGTGGGAGGTACAGGCAGGGGTCAGATCCAGCGGGGCCGGGAGCAGCAGGGAGCTTGGTCACGGTCTAGGTCATCAGGGAAGCCGGCGGGGGCTTTCAGCAGGGAGCGCTTTTGTCGGAAGAGGACGACACTTGCTGCGGTGTGGGAAAAGGATGAGAGAGAAGGAAGAGATGAGAGCCCTGTGGCAAGGTCACGGCCCTGGTCCTCAGGTGGAGGCCAAGGAGAAGGGGAGGGGGAGCAGGGGAAAGACTGGTATACGGAGGCTGCTGGGAAGTCAGCCAAGGGCAAGATCCGTGTGTGCGTGGGGGTCTGTCCCCACCTTGCCACCAGCACATGCTGTCATGTGTAGCTATCACACGTGCCTTCGCCTTGGCCTGTGCGGTCAGTGATATGCTCATGTGTCCCCGCCCCCACAGGCATCATGCTGGGCCGCATGGGTGACAGCGGGGCCCCCCTGGTCAGCTTCTGCCAATGCCTCAATGAGTCTGTCATGAAGATCGTGGCAGTGGCGGTGTGGTAAGCCTTGCCGGGATGGGAATGGCCTCTCCTTCCCCACCCCCTTCCACTCCTCCCCTGGGCAGTCAGAGGGACCCCAGGGCCCCATCCTCTGTTCTCCTAGGGGTGGGCTGCCCAGGAGACGGAGCCCTGGCCTGGGGCCTCCAGAGTCACACGTGCTCCCCTGCATCCCTGGCCCTGACCGGGCCTGGTTCCAGCCCCGGGCCTGCCACTTCTGGCCCGGCCAGCCCATTGGAGGAGAGCGAAGAGCTCAGCCTGGCCCTGCTCTGCTGGCCCAGTGCCCCCATCACATGGCGCTCATCAGCTCAATGTCTGGAGGAAGGAAACTCTGGAAGGGAGAACCAGCTGCCACTCCTTGGTTCAGAGCTCAGACCTTAGAAATCTTCCAGTCCAACCCTGCAGTTTAGATGGGGAAATGCAGAGGTCTGCCCAAGGTCACACACGCAGACTGTGGTGTTGCCGGGCTGAAACGTGGGCCTGCAGAGGGCAGGCGTACTCCTCAGAGGCCTGGGCAGGAGGGTTGTGCAGGGCCAGGCCACCGGAGGGCGTTGGTTTGATGATGCCACGTGCTGGGCACCAGGCGCTCAGTCACGGTCAGCCCTCAGGGAGGCCAGGCCAGGCAGCGATGCAGTGCCAGGGCCTCCTGGGGCCCTCCCCTGCCTGGCTCTGAGCTGGCTGCCCTGCCCCCACAACAGGTACTTCCCCTTCGGTATCGTGTTCCTCATCGCCGGCAAGATCCTGGAGATGGATGACCCCACAGCCGTGGGGAAAAAGCTGGGCTTCTACGCGGTCACCGTAGTATGTGGGCTGGTGGTCCACGGCCTCTTCATCCTGCCCCTGCTCTACTTCTTCATCACCAAAAAGAACCCCATCGTCTTCATCCGAGGTGTCCTCCAGGCCCTGCTCATCGCACTGGCCACCTCCTCCAGGTAGCCCTCGGCAGTGGGCAGTACAGGGGAGGTGGTGGTGGCCCAGCCTTGTCCATCTGTTAAGCCATCATTTGTCCACAGCCACAGATTCCTGGAAAGTGGCAGTAAAGCCCACTTCACAAAGTTAGAGGTTGTTATGGTAACAAGACCAATTTCTGAAATGTAATGCTTGAGGCCCCACCTGCCCAGGTGGCAGAAAGCCTTTGTCGTCTCTTGAGGCCTTCCCCTCCCCGCACTGCCCACAGGCCTCAGGTTCACTCGTCTGCACGGGGGTCGGCCTCCACGCGCCAGGAGCAGGGCGAGCTGGGGGGTGGTGAATCTCCACTTGTGTGGCCTTTTGCCCGCACATGGTGCTTCTGCGGCATCAGGCCCGGTGCCGTTCAGGGGCTGTGCCTGTCTGCTGTCACTGAGACATCCTGCTTAGAGGCCCTGTTACAGCCTTGGCAGCGTCACTGGTCACTGTGAATGGGGACTGGAATCCCGGTTCCCTTACCCACTAGTGTGTGACACGGGCAAGCACTGGACCTCCCTGGGCATCAGGCCCCCCGTCTACAGTCTGGGGATTGCTGCAGCCTCCCCAGAGGGCTGCTGCGGGGTTAACGGAGATGACAAACCAGGGGAAAGGCTGGTCCGGCCGGACGCCACAGCGCCCACCCTCGAGGTTCCCAGACCGCAGCCCCGTGAAGACGGGCCCCCCAGGGAGTCCTAGTCTTGAGGACCCAGCTGTCAGTCAAGGAGGAGGAAATGGTTACTCGTACGGGGTTAGATGCTCTGATCATGGGAGGAAAGGGTGGTTCTGCCCACAGCGAGGATCTCCCCACACGGAGGAAACTGCCTGAGCTCAGGCCCCCATTTCTCTGGCACCAAAGCCTACCTCCTCCCTCCAGCCCCTACTGCCTTCTCTGCCCGGGCCTTGGGGTCCCGATCTGTAAAATGGGAACGAGGGCCACCACAAACCCTGTAGCAGCAGAAGCACCTCACCCCAGACTCGGGGGGAGCAGAGCCACAGGGAGGAAAAACCCCACATGCTGTATCCAGGAAACCCCACCCAGAGGTCAGAGGTGAAGAGGAAAGATCGAGCCCCCAGTGGCTGTCCCCACGCCACGGGCCACAGCCTGCCAGAGCCGGCAGCCCTTGGCCACCTCCTGCTGGACAGGAACCACCACCTCAGCCCAGCCCGTCTGGGCTCATCGGAGGCTCTCGCAAGTGGGAGTGGGGTCCCCAGGCCCCCAGTGACTGGCGGGGTAGAAAGGGCTCTGGGGCCATACAGATGTCAGTGCTGGTCCCGGCACTGCCACCAGGAGCTCTAGTGACAAAACAGCGACAGCCACAGTGGCAGCCACCATCGCCTGAGCACTTGTGATGGGGCAGCCACTGTGCGAGTGCTTCCTCGTCGAGTCGCCCTGGCAGCTCTGTCATCCTCCCTCCTGCACAAGGAAACTCGGCACGCACAGGTTAAGGAGCCCGCCCGGGCCACGCGGCTAGAAGGAGGCTGGAATATGAACCCAGGGAGGGTGAGTTTGGGTCAGTCTGTCCTCCCTTCTGGGCTTTAGTCTCTTCATCTGTAAAATGGACTCAACTCCCACCCCCCCACAGGTAGCCGTGAGGATCACATGACAGTGTGTGTAAAGCGAGGTACTTGCGCACAGTAGGCATTCTGCTGGTGTAAGTCCCTTCCTGACCTGTGTGACCCTGAGGCTCTGGGCCTGGGCGGCCCCAAAGGGTGCCACTCCGACCGTGGTCAGAGCCCCTTCAGCCTGTTCTCCCCCACGACGGGCTGGCAACCCAGAGGCCCTGACCATCCTGGAGGAGGATGGTGGGCAGGCACCGGCCTCTCTGCCTGCAGCTCAGCCACACTGCCCATCACCTTCAAGTGCCTGCTGGAGAACAACCACATCGACCGGCGCATCGCCCGCTTCGTGCTGCCCGTGGGCGCCACCATCAACATGGATGGCACGGCGCTCTACGAGGCTGTGGCTGCCATCTTCATCGCCCAGGTCAACAACTACGAGCTGGACTTCGGCCAGATCATCACCATCAGGTGCACTCCTGACACCCTATGCCCAGGTGGATTGGGGTAGAAGGGTGGCTGCTGTTCGGATGCTCAAACTCCCAGATTGGACGGGGGTCTCTAAGGCCCAGAGAAGGCGAGGGGCTCATTCTAGGCCACACAGCAAGTCAACATTAGGGTTGGGGCCATGACCTGACCTTTGCAATTGGCGGCACTGAGCTCCTTCCCCCGCAGAGCCCTGCAGAGCAGGCAGCTCCGAGCGAGCGGGCCGGCCGGGAAGCTGAGATCCAGAGGGAGGGCCCTGCAGGCAAGCACAAAGGAAGCAGAGGCCAGGGGCAGGACTGGGGACAACGGAGGGGCAGCGGGTGCGGCTGGAGCTGAGGGAAGGTGCTGAGACGAGGGGCAGAGGCCGAGAGGAAGGCCTCCCATGTCCGCCTGAGGGCACGAGTCTGACCCTGCGGGCCTGGCCCCAGAGGGAGGCCGGGCAGAGCTGTGCAGCTTCTCGGAAACCCACAGAAGCAGCAGCTCCTGACAAAGGGTTTTCCACAGATACCTCAGGAGGTTCTGCTAGGGCCAGGATGGGGGCCCATGGGGCTGTCAGGCCTCAAGCAGGAACCTGTTCCCCAACAAGAACTCCTTGCTGTGGCCTTCCTAACAGCCCCTGCCCCATATGGCTGTCCCAGAGGCGCAGGCCCTCCGGCCTCCCTTGGGGCCAGGGCCCCAACATGGCACCTGCCCCCCGCTTCTCCTCTTCCTCTCCCCACCCTCTCTGCAGCATCACAGCCACGGCAGCCAGCATCGGGGCAGCCGGCATCCCCCAGGCCGGGCTCGTCACCATGGTCATTGTGCTCACCTCCGTGGGACTGCCCACTGACGACATCACCCTCATCATCGCAGTCGACTGGGCTCTGTGAGTGGGGGTGGCCCCTCCCCCCAAGCAGCAGGCTTTTGGGATGGGCAGGGGAAATGCCCTGGTTTGGCACAGTGGGGGGCCTTATGCATCAACACTGGCCTGGCTGCATAATTTGTGGAGCCCAGTTTCCAAAACTGAAAATCTGGAGTCCCCTGTTTACAAATTGTAAAGAATTTCAAGAGGGTAAGAGCAAACCTTTAAACCAGGCCTGGGCCCTGCCAAGCACAAGCCCCCTGCTCTGTGCGGCCACAGGCCCTCGAAGCCCCGCACCCGCCCGCCTCCCCACCGCTGAGGGAGTGGTGGGCTTGGAGCACTCGGAAAGCAGCTCCCTGGGGGCTCCGCCCTGGCCGCTGCTGCCCGCAGGGGCTGCTCACCCTGCCCTCTCCCAGCTCCCCTTACAAGCGCCCGCTGCTCACGGCCCACCTTGGCCCCCCAGGGACCGCTTCCGCACCATGATTAACGTGCTGGGTGACGCGCTGGCTGCAGGGATCATGGCCCACATCTGCCGGAAGGACTTTGCTCAGGACACAGTCACCGAGGTGAGAACAATGCCTCCGTCCCAGCCAGGCCACCCAAAGGCCCCCGGCAGGTGAGGCCTGGGTGGGATGAGCACCGATCTTCCCTTCACCAGCAGGGGGGCCTTCAGTCCTTCCACAACTCTGCCTCAGTTTCTCACCTGGTACCAGAGGTGACTAACCCCTCTCACAGCCAGCTGTTGAGCACCACTGCTCCAGGAAGCTGACACCCCACCCGAGGGGAGCTGCGCCCCAGCGTGGGGGTGGCGCTGGTCCAGACGACAGCAATGCAGATGTTGCGTGTCTGCAGCAGTTCGGGGGCTTCAGGGCTCCTCCAGCAACCACGAGTAGCGAGTCGCAGGCTGCCCCGCTCCACGGGGAGGATGCTGAGGCCCAGGCAGGGGCTCACTTCCCTCACTGCACCCTGTGGGTCAGGGTCCCTCCTCTACTAGGACAGCCCCAGGAGGAGGCAGGACAGCCAAGAGATGCCCCGTCACCCACCGAGGTCCCATGGCACATCTGCACGAAGAATGATGGCATGGTTCCCAGGCCTTGCTTGTTTGGTCCTCCCTGCTCTCTACCCGCTTCCAGCAGCTACTAAGGCCTGTCCCCTCCCCACAGAAACTGCTGCCCTGCGAGACCAAGCCAGTGAGCCTCCAGGAGATCATGGCGACCCAGCAGAATGGCTGTGTGAAAAGCGTGGCCAAGGCCTCAGAGCTGACCCTGGGCCCCACCTGCCCCCACCACATCCCTGTCCAGGTGGAGCAGGACGAGGAACTGGCTGCCGCCAGCCTGGACCACTGCACCATTGAAATCAGCGAGCTTGAGACCAACGTCTGAGCCTGCAGAGCTGCAGAGGCCTGGGCAGGCCTCCAGGGTTGGGCAGAGGGCAGCATCTCGACTTCCTCCTTTCCTGAGCAGCCGACAGGGGCGAGCCTCACACACGCTTCCCTCCCTCGGGAGGTCGGAACCAGCTCCGCTTGACAGAAAGCAGAGTCTCGCAGAGGAAACGCCAGCAGGGGAGTGATGGGCCAGCACAGCCCAGCCCAGCCCTGGCTGTGACTTCCCATGGTGACGGCCCGTGAGGACAGCAGGCAGGGGTTATGGTCCGCACTTTCCGGATGAGAGAGTTAAGGCTGAAAGCGCGTATCCCAGGTCTCAGAGCAAGTCAGGGCAAGGGCTCCAACTCGGGTGTTTCATGCCCTGCCCACTCCCTCCCGGAGGACAGGGGCACCTGCTGGGCCAGGTGCCCAGAGAGGCTCCAGGCTCTGCCCCTGTCCTGTAGCCCCGCAGCCACCACCGCTTTCCACTCATGCAGACAGAACAGTGGCCTCTGGGCCTGCCCCTCTGTGTCCTGGCCCAGGCCAGCCCTCCACCCAGCCCCATAACACGTGGCCTCAAACAGCTCTGCCCAACAGGGGGCCAGCCCAAGACCGAGGCCTGCTGCCTTCCACATGCCTCGGCCTGTCTGGTCCCACCCCAGCGGTCCTCTCTCACAAAGCTCCCATGATTTGGAGGTGGGGGTGTCTTTGCTGGGGCTGCCTGGGCCCTTGGAAACATCTGGGCCAGCTTCCCACCAGGCGGTGGGCCAGCCAGGACCCAGGGGCAGGCTGCCTGGGACGTTTCGTACAAGCTGCCCAGTTGGCTCTGGATCAGGACTCCCCAGAAGCCTGAGGGATAAAGAGGAGTTAAGTTTTATATTCTTTTCTGTGTTTGCAAATTCAGTAATAACTAAATAAATGTATTTGGGTTTTGAGTCTTGTGGGTTTAGCAACCATACTCTAGCCAGCATTTCTTTACTGAGCTAATATAGGCTGTCCCAGTGCGGAATGGCTGGGCTGGGCAGCCAGAGCATGGACAGGCCTGTCCAGGTGGCTAGAACATAAACGGGCCAGCCCGTCCAGCTAGAGCACGAACCTGGGCGGTCAGTGTGTGCACAGGCCTGCCTGAGCTGTCACGTGCAGGAGGCAGGGCGCAACCCTGCCTGCCCAGGGCCTGTCCTGACAGCCGCAGCATGGACAGACCACTCGGCTCCTGGCCTGGGCCTCACTCTGCAGGCCAGGCCCTGAGATCAGTCCCCACAAATGGAACAAAGTACCTCAGCCAGTCAGGCTCCCTTTGGCAAATGCTTTGCTTTAAGGCCCCAGGGCAGTTTCAGACCATCTCCCACATTGTCCTCAGCTCCAGTGTACCCCCAGGAGGCTCACAGCAGGCCAAGGTGAACCTGGCCCCACAGCCTGTTCTGTATGCACTCTGGGGAGAGGACCCACCTCCCGGTCTTACACTGTGGAGCCATAAAGACACTGAAGCAGGGGAAGGGAAGAGGCTTCCCAACGTCACTCAGAAAATCAGGAGGGCAGCAGCCTCCCAGCCCTCCATTGCTGAACTGCTTCCCTCCTCTTCCCAGGCCTAGAGTCTGAGGAGTCTGGGAAGGGCCCTGCCCCCAGGATCCCCCTCTCACTGTGGGGACGGGCTATGAGGTGGACCGTGGAAGCACCCTTCCTTCATTAAGGCCTAGGCAGCCAGGAGAGGTCAGATGTCAAGCTACAGCCACTCCCGCCATCATGTGAGGGCTTCCCCACCCCTTCCCTAGGTCACATCTCTAGGCCCTTTGAGCAGTGGAGTCTGCCCCACCCGCAGGCAGGCACCTGTTCTTGACGGGGTTCAGCAGGAGCGTGCACGTGCACCCCCAGTGGCGGGTTGCTGCTGCCTGGGCATCTCGTCCAGGGGCGGCTCTGCTTGTCGGAAGCTCTTCTTTGCTCTGAGCGGGATACTATATCCCACCGTACCCCGGCCCCAGCTCTGGCCCTGCTGGTGGTGGTGGGCACACAGGTCATGTCTGCACCCCTTCCCAAAGCTCTACTCCAGTTCCCAGGCCTGTTTCGGGTCCCCTTCCTACCTCAGCCATCCTCCATGGGACAGACGCCCCCCAAGCAATGCCCACTCAGTGCACAGGTGACCTTCCAGGTAGGCCCTGAGCAGCCCAGAGCCAGCAGGTCCTTTGCTTGGATGCTCAGCCTCTAGGAGCACACAGCGAGCTCCCAGGCCTGGCGTGGCGGTCCCGCCCAACCCGTTGAGCCCCACCAGGCCACAGCTGCCTTTTGGCCTTCTAACCTGGGACTACACCCTGTGTCCCTGGCCCTCTGCCTGTGGGACTACTTTGTAGGCCCTGGGAACTGAACTTCGCGCTGACCCCTGCCGGTCTGGACGGGGGCGCCTGGCAGGAAGCACACACAGACACGGCCACAGGCTGCCAGACAGGGCTAATGCTTTTATATTAGTTTTTCTATAACAACAAAAATCAGCTTTGAGGTTTTTATCATTTTTTCTTAAAAAAAAAAAACAAAACAACAAAAAAAGGCACCCAGAACTCCCTGCAGGCCCGAAGAATAAAAATGGTGTCTGGTTGGCGGTGGGGCCGGGCCCTCCCCACTCCTTCACCCCAGCCCCCCTCCTCCATCTCCGTCCCACCATGGCCCCGGCAGTCCCCAGAGAATTCCCCTGGGGCCCTGCCCGCCCCAAACACGCCTGTGGCCAGCCAGGGCATGGCAGGGAGGGACTCCCCGGCATCTGGGGGGCCAGGGCAGCAGTCCTGGACGTTCCTGTCCCCAAAGGGAGGGAAAAGGAACAAAAGCCAGCTTTTGTGAGTTCCGAAGGGCAGCAGGCACCTGGCCGCAGGGGAATTCTCCGCTCGGAGCTCAGAGATTACTCTGTGTCTTCTCCAGACGATGGACGGACAGACAGCCAGGCAGACAACAAGCTGTTCTGGCCACTTCTGGCTGGGGCAAGAGCTGTTGGCGGCATAGGCCGAGGAGGGCTGTTTGCACATGGCTCGTGTGTGTGTGTGTGTGTGTGTGTGTGTAGGAAGTGGATGCCAGGGTGGGGGTGAGACCCTTCCCTGAGTCTGCACGGTTCAGACACAGCGATGGTGGTGCTGGGCATGCAGTGGACAGTGGGACCCTGCAGAGGACGACGGGCAGCTGGCTGTATGTGGGTGTGTCGTGCTGTGTGTGTGCGTCTACTGTGGCATGAACTGTAGGAAGGGGTGGGGATGAGAGACTGTGTTAAGCTTGTGTTGGGGAGTAGGTGGGATCGGTGCTGGCTGTGTCTGGAGTGCGGCAGAGTCGGTGCTCACAGGGCAGGGACCCGTGCGGCAGAGAGGGTCCAGATGGCCATCATCCTGTAGAACACGTGGGAGCGTCAGGGAGGCCAAGCAGACCCGCCAGCCACAACCTGCCTGGGGGAGGGGGGTCAGAGCCGGGAGGCCACGTGCCACTGCTCTGGGGGGCCGGTGACTGCGGGCAGGTGGGGAGGCTGCTCCTTGGTGCCCAGAGCCAGTGGGTGCCCCTGGGAGGTGCTCGTGTTGTTGTGGCCGGGCCTGGGGTGGACTAGGGGGCCTTTGGGTCCCTCTAGACACTCTCGGGGGCTCAACTGACCTGACACTCTCTAGACACTCTCTAGACACTCAACTGACCTGACCGTGGCCAATGTCCCCCAGAGGGGCAGATCCTCCCCCACCCCAGGACTCCACAGCACCCCCCGCGAGGCCCACAGCATCCACGCTGGATGGCTAGTCACCCCTGCTGCTAACCCCTGGCTCCGCCTGAGGAAGATGCCCAGAGACAGGGTCTGCCTTCCTAGCCCCGGCTGCCCTGGGCCTGCCCTCCACACTCACACTGCCCCTAGGCACACCCTTCTCCCCACCTCTCATTCATCTCTGGGGTCCTCACCCCCCTCACCCCCTGGGACTCCCCTCTGCCCCAGGCCCTACTCCAAGCCAGCTTCCTAAGAGTGGCCCAGTGCCCCCTCCAACCACACCCTGACCCCGTGACCCCCAGCTCCCTGCCATCCCTGTAACCCAACCTCTCCACCTGGCCGCTTGCCGACATCTCCTGTGGCCCTCTCCAGTATGCCCCCCAGCAACCCTGCCTACCAGCCCCTCCTGTCTGCACCCCCTTCCCCTTGCAGCCTAACCCCCAGGATCTACCACTGCAGACGGTCTCTTGCCAGTACACTCAGCTTCCCTCCTGTCCCCCACACCTAACCAAATCCCCAGCTGTGGGGGACCCCATTATCCATCCCCACCCCCAGCCCCACCACTGAGCACCTCGTGCTGCAGGGAGAAAACTGCAGGCTGAAGGCAGCTGGCTGACGTGACTTTATGAGCAGCCACCAAGCCACCCACCTGTGACTGCTGCTGCTCAGTCCTCTGTCCCTCCCGCCACAGTGGAGGGAGTACTGACCCTCCTGCCAAAGCCAGTCCCTCCTGCTCTCTCCACGGGGTCACCACTGTACTCTGCTCCTCTCTCTTACATCTCTAACTCCTCCCTCCACACGGCCCGTCCCCATCAGCACTCAGACCAGTGCCATTCCTTAAAAATGACCCAGCGTGAGCTGAGCTCTGCCTGGACTTCTGACCCCTCCCCACTACCGCCCTCATCTCTTCACTTCTGGACAGAGTTGTCTACGCTCCCTGGACCCACTCGTCTCCAGCCCCTTACTCCACCCCCATTGTCCCGAGGCTGCTCCCCACAAGGCCATGGTGACCACGGTGTGGATGAACGTAGTGGGCCCTCGGCAGTGCTCAGCTCTACCCGCCTCTCAGCAGCACCGACACAGCCGATTCTCTCCACTGTGCATGTATTCATGGCATGTGTGTGTGCATGTGTGTACACAAGAGCTGTGTGGGGTACATGTGCACACAAATTTGTGTGCACACATACAGTGTGTGTTCCACAAATGTGTGCTTTCTGGGTGAGAGTGTGTGTTTTGACGTGTGTGCGTGAGCATGGGTGTGTGTATGCTGATCACATGTGGGGGCTTGTGTTACATGTATGTGTGAACACCCTCTGACCTGGGCTGTCTGTGGCTTCCCTACCTCCTTCCCTAGCTGCTCCACCTCAGCCCCTCTCTCGGCCACTCACTCGCTCACTCGCTCTCCCTGGGCGAGCTCCCCTGCCTCCCGCAGCCTCAGCGACCATTTCAGGCTGATGATGCCTGGGTCCCCACCTCCAGCCCAGGCCTTCCTCTGGATCCCCAGACCTGTACATCCAACCCATCCCTGGGCACCTCCCCCAGTGCCTTTTGGGCCCCTCAAACTCAACATTCCCCTAAACAAACCTGGCCTTCCTCTCGTCCACCCTGAATTCCAAGCTTGAACCTGGGCCTGGTCTCCCCCTCACTCCCATGGGGAGGGACTACTTGAGTCTGCCTCCCCAGTCCCTTCAGGCCCGTCTGCTTCTCTGCATCCTCACCTCCCGCCCCATAACCTCTGGCTTGGATTGCAGCAGTAGCCTCCACCAGGGCTCCCACGTCACTCCCTGTGTGGGCTTTATCAGGGCATCACCACCCTGCGGGGAATGCCCGGGCACAGGCCAGCCTTCCAGGAGCTTGCCATCGTCCCAGCCTCCCACCCAGGGCCTGGCACACACCCAATGCTTGTACTGGTTTACAAACTGAACAATGCAGCAGGGGACGGGGGGTGGAGAATGAACAGGAAGACCTAGACTGAGTCAGGACAGGAAACTAGCAAGAACCACTTACCTATGTCAGATCCGGTTCACCTGGTCACTATCGCCTTTCCTCTTCCTCTTCCTCTTCATCCTCCTCATCCTCTTCCTCTTCCTTCTCCAACTGGCCCCGGTCCTTGGAAACGTCACCAAACTCAAAGTTGCCTTCTATGTCCAAGACCTGCAGGTGCTTCAGCCTCCGGAAGGCACTTTCCACCACAGAGCCCACAGCCAGCTTGTTAAACCTGTACGGCCACCCACGTGGGGTCAGTGCTGAGAACCCCACCCCGACACTGACCCACCCAGGAAGAAAAGGGGAGAGAACGGGCCCTGCAGGAGGACAGAGCAGCGAACATGAAAGGCAGGGGGCTGGAAGGCACCGTGTATCAAGGGGAGTCCCAGCTGTCCAGTGTGGCTACCGCTTGGGGGGCCAGAGCTGACCCTGGGCCACTCACCCACAAAGTGAGGGCAGGGCCACAGGGGATCTCCCACCTGAGAAAGATGCCCTTGAGGTTGGGCGTGGAGTCAAAGGCGTTGGCGGGCACGGTGCTGATCTTGTTGTTCTGCAGGTACAGGTGCTCGAGCGACTCGGGAAGCCCTGCCGGGATCTCCGTCAGCTGGTTCCCAGCGATGTCCAGCAGCTGCAGGGGTAAAAGCACTTAAGGACTTGCAAAGGCCCCCCACTCACCCCCCAAACATATCTAAATCTCACCATAACTTCGTGAGGAGGGATCTGTAACTACTACATTTTCAGATGGGGAAACAGAGGCTCAAGGAGGTTGAGAGATCTGTCCGAGGCCACACAGCCAGGCGGGAACCCAGTGCGCCTGACCCCAAACCCTGGTTCTACCCAGTGGCTCCTGCCTTCCCACACGGATGCACGGGCAGGATGCCTGGACAACACTCCTTCCTCATCAACACATGTCACCCCCTCCAGACTAAAGACCCCAGAGGGCAGGGGCCAGGAGTCCTCCAGTCTGTGACTCTCGCCCCACAGCTCCCAGAGGAGGGTGGGGTTGGGGGCCGCATGGGTGGGGCTGCTTATTTGTGGACCTCAGGGGCCACATGCGCAGGGGTCAGCAGCAAGAGTGCAAGGCTATGGTGACCCTAGGCTGGTCAGTCTCGGAGTCACCACATGCCCACAGTCCAGGAAGTGGGAAACCTGGAAAATGGGGCGTTTTCCCAGGGGGCATAAGGAACAAGCAGTAGGCAGGAGATGTGGACGTGCACGGCCCAGCGCACTGTCCCTCAGCAGTCAGCATGCCCCAGCCAGCAGCCCTGTGCAGCGCCAGGTGGGGCTCCATCATCCCTGAACTGCCACCCTCACCCCAACAGGCTAGGGCTCGGGCTCAGGAAGCTGAGGGCTTCAACATTCAAGGGGAGCACGAGCTTCACGCACCATAGAGAGCCTCCCTGTCACCTCCCTGATGCACAGGGCTCCCTGCTCCCCACCGTGTCCCCTCACACGGCTCCAGCACTTCCTCATTCATTCCATACATCCGCTGTGCCCACGCGTGCTGGGGACGTGGAATCCACTGAGACACTGCCTCCCCCCTCCGGAAGCCAGGCTAGCAGACGGACACAGAGTCTAACAATGACAGCCAGTGGAATTGGGCCACCACGAGGCAGCCTGGGGGAGGAGCCTGACGCAGCCTTGGGTCGGGGGCACTGACAGGGTAGCGGGAATTGCTGCTGCCTGTAGGAAGAGCCAACGACCAGAGGAAGAATCTGCCCCCAACAGACACCCGTTCCCTGACTGAACTCATCCAGGCCCAGGGAGGTATTTAACCTGCCCATCATCGGTGGCTTCCAGAGGAGGTGACACCTGAATCCAGGTATATTACAGTCTCCAGAACAGTAGTGAGCCTCCCAATGCCTTGCTCCCAGCTGGGTCCTCAGCTCTAGAACTTCCTACACATGCTGAGGTCTCCATATAGACTTGTGGAATGAATGAGGGAGTAGGTAGCACCAGGGTGGAAACGCTGCTTGCTTCCAGCAGAGGGCCCAGTAAGAGCAAAGCCCAGTGCACCTGGGAAAATAGGACGCTCAGCTGGGGACAGGGGCAGCCTGGGCCGTGAGGGCTGTGGCAAGGATGCTGATCTGGGTTCTAAGGGCAATGGGGAACCACGGACGGATCAGGAGCTGGGCAGGAGGGTAAGCTGAGTATGTACTTTCCAAGATACCTTCTGATTGCTTATGGAGTGCAGGAGTAGGTATTCCTAGGAAGGTTGGGTCCAGGCAAGAAATGGGGGTGGGTTGGCTAGGGGTATGGGCAGCAGCGATGGAGAGAAGAGGCTGGATCAGGATGCAATGGTAGAGCTGGCAGGTAGAACGAGGGGGACTGCAAGGCAGATGGTGTACATGGGATGCCAAGGCAGCTTCCAGGTTTCCCGTGGGCACCGGGGGCGGGGGGGGGGGGGTTGCCCCCTTCAGTGAGTTGGCAATGTAGTAGGAGAAGGAGCAGGTGTGAAGGAGAGGAAATGGGGTTTGGACCCTTGTGAATGGGGTTCCTGGGGTACACCTAAGAGAGATTAATTGGCACGAGTGGCTGGATCCTGGTGTCTGACACTCAGCAGGATGGGCTGGGTGAGGAGAGACGCCAGCTGATGCTGCTCCTGCAGGGCCCGCTGCCTCCCTGACACCCGCCCTGCTCCACCCTCAGAGCTGTGCCCACAGTCCCTCCCTGCCCCCCAGCCCAGGCAGCCCCGTCCCAGCAGCTGCCCCCACAGGCAGGGACTGTGAGCCTACCAGGCCAGGGCCCTGGGTCCAGCCGCGAACACAACAGACTAAAATGCCTGCCCTTCCTTATTCTAGAGGGAAGATCTGGCACCAAACAAACAGAGAGATGACCTAATGCCAGGGAGGAAGGAGGAGGCTTATGAAGAAAAACAATGCAGAGGAAGGTGCTGGGTGGTGCGAGAAGACCTCCCAAGGAGGTGACATTTGAGCAGATCCCTAAGAAAGAGGAGGAGCAAACCCTGAGGACATCAGGGCACAGAAGCCAGACAGCAGGGCACAGGCTGCAGGCTCAGGCGTGGGCCTGGCCACACCCCGGCCCTGCCTCCCAGGTTTCTCTAGGGAAGTTCCCTTTCAGCCTCTCAGTGAGTCCGGAGGTTTCACTGTAAGAAACTCAGTTCTTACGACCGACCGGATGTGCTGCCTGCCTCTGACCATGGCCACAACAGCCACACCCACCTCCCCAGTCACCTCAAGCAGACTCCCCCAGCCCTCTGCAGACCACCACCTCAGGGGCCTTGCTGCCGAGCCCTACCGCCGGCCCAGCCTTCCCTGGGCACACATTCCCGTGCCTGTGGATGGGCGAGTTTGACTCTCCTGCCACCTGAATTGTCCCTGCCCCCTGTCCTCCTGAACCGTGGGCTTCTGCCTGTAGCCATAACCTCTCCTTACCCCCACAGCCCTCCTCAAGCCTGTACCTGCTGGTAGTCAGCTGTGCCTGGCCATACCAGAGGTACTCTGCGCTTCACTCCTTACCAGGCACGCCAGCCCTACTCTGAATTGCCCAGCCCTGCTTTAAGGCCTGGCGTCCCCATGGGGTACCTCTCTCATGGCTCTGCCCCCTGCCCTCCCCTTTACCTGCAGATGGGTGAGGTCGGCCCAGGCACTGGGGCCTAGGGCCCGGCTGCGCAGCCGGTTCCCGGTGAGGTAGAGCTCACGCAGCTGGGCCATGCCACCCAACGCCCCGCGTGCCAGAGCGGCCAGCTCATTGCGCTTGACCTTCAGCACGTGCACGTTGCGGGGAAGTCCTGGCGGCAGTGTGTGTAGCCGGTTGCCGGACAAATCCAGCGAGCGCAGCAGGCGCAGCTTGCGGAAGGCGTCGCGGTGCATCTGCGGACTGGTGATGCGGTTGTAGCTGAGGTTCAGCTCCTCCAGGAAGTAGGTGGTGGCAAAGTCATCACGGCCGATGCCGGTGATCTGGTTGTGCAGAATCATGAGGGTGCGCACGCGGCGGGGCAGACTGCTGGGCACGCGCTCCAGCGCATTGTTGTACAGGTGCACAGTGTGCAGCCGCTTGAGGCCCTGGAAGGCCCGCGGGTGGATGCCGTTCGCTCGCAGCTGGTTGCTGTGCAGCAGCAGGTACTCAAGGCTGCGGATGGGGGTCAGCACGTCCGCGTCCACGCTCCGTATGGCGTTCTTCTCCAGGTGCAGCAGCACCAGGCTGCGTGGCAGCCCCGCTGGGACCCGCGACAGGTTGTTGCTGGACAGATCCAGGTACTCCAGACTGGAGAGCTTCCTGGGGCGAGGGCAAGTAGGACGGTTGGCAGGAGCCCACATAGCAGGAGCCCACTCTTATTTCCGCCATGTTCCCGAGTGAGGTGGCAGGGAAACTGCCTCTAATTCATCCCAGCTCTGCCACCTGCTCACTGGGGGACCTCAAGCCTCTCCAAGCCCCTCACTGGATTGATTATTCAGTGAAATTGATGCAGGAAGGCTCTAGCATGGTTTCTGACACATAGGGGTTTATTTGAAGAACAATTGTTGAAGGACTTTTTTGGCTACTCTGGGCCCTAAAAAAATGAAAATATATTTATATTTGCCTTCAACAAACATGTTTGAGTTTCTGTTTTGTACCAAGAAGCCAGCATCTGCAAATGCTTCCCTGCCTCACTGGAATTTTGGCAGGCCTTACCCATGCACATTGCTTGTTCTCGGGGGCAGAAATGTCAGCAGAGGCACAAGCCTCAGAGTTCCTTCTCTAGCAAAACTGGCCAGGGCAGCTGGGCGAGAGGTGCCTGTGAGAGGCCTGGCTGGGTGGGGTTTCCCGGGTGCCTGGTCCTCCTGGGGGCCCAGGCAGGGGCTTACCAGAAGGTCTCGTTGTCCAGGCCCTCATCCGTCAGGTAGTTGTTCTGCAGGTACAGCTCCCGCAGGTTGCTCAGCTCACTGAAGGCACCTGGTGGGATCTTCTCCAGCTTATTGTTCTGGGGGGGGTGGGCAGTGGGGAGGGGGCCATGAGAGACAGCCAAGGGGCAAGGGCAGAGCCCAAGGGCATGTAGAGAGGAGTTTGAGGGAGCCGTGAGGTGAGGACCCGGGCCTGGCGTACTCTGGGCGTGGGGCTGAAAACCAGGAGGCCAGGCTTCTGCCTGCTTCTCCGTAGTGGGTGCTGGGCCGGGGCCTCACGGCCTTGCCACCGTGTACACGTGGGCCTGGGCTCTTGCCCTGCTCTGGGTCCCTGCTCTGGGGGTGCTCCACCTGCCCTCTCCCTCCTACCTTGAGGTGCAGCTTATAGAGGGCAGGTGGCAGGTGCTTGGGCACATGGCGTAGGAAGTTGCTGGACAGAATAAGGATCTCAACGTTGCTGGAACCGTTGAACATGTTGTCCGGCAGCCCGGCATCTGCCAGTTTGTTGTTGTGCAGGTACACGGACCTGGGGGTGCGGTGCAAGCCCTCACTCACCCGGGACCCCGGGACCCAGCCCCCGCTCACCTGGAGCCTCCAAACCTGGAGGTTGGGCCTGGGGCCTCCAGCATCCCCCTTTCCTCTGAGGAACCTCAGACTCTACCTGATGTCATGCCCCCTATACAGCTGAGGGGACCAAGGACACACCAGACGTTGCCCCACAAGTTAGTGGCAGAAATAGGGTTTCCTGACCCCCAATCCATGCTTCTCCGTGCACTTCAGGGTTCTCGGTCATTCCCCAGTTGTCACAGCCTGTCAACCCCACACAGCTGGCTCTAAGTTCCGTGGGACTACCTGAATATGGGAAGTGTCCCTGGTGCCCAGCACAGGGCCTGGCTCACGGTAAGTGATGCCTCATCCACTCAGTAAGTACACAATGAGTGCCCCTACATGCCAGGAATGTTCTAGACTGTGAAGATACAGCATGGACACAACCAATGAGACTCTGCCCTCATGGAGCTAACACACTAGAGGGCCAGAAGACCAGAAAGCAAAGAAATACATAGAAGGTATAGCTCATTCTTGCTGTGTGCCTCTCTTGGGCCTCAGCCTTCTCATCTGTGGGATGGGACCACAGACCACACACAGTGACCCTGGCTCCTCAGGGGGATGGAGGGAATCGAGTAAGGCGACAGATGCAGGTACAGAAGTGGCACCAGGAGGGGCCAGCCCTTCCAGCACCACCGTGCCCTGCTCACTCCTCCCAAAGCAGCTGTCAGCAAGGGACAGGATGCATGGCTGTGCCTGCTAGAAGATGCTCCCCCCAGGGGCTGAGGAAGGGGGGAAGCAACCTCACCAAGCTCCCATCATTTCACAGATATCACCCTCTGTCCACGCCTCCTAGACCGATTCTTCCCTACCCTTTAGGTCTCAGTCTTTGGAACCCGTGTCCCCCCCACATACACCCCGCCCCCCGCAGCCCCTGGGCATCTCCCACCACAGCCCCAAGCATGGGGCCTCATGCCCACACCACACAGCATGGCCCTCCTCCAGGACCTGTCTGGGTTCTCTCTGCCTCATCACGGGGGCTGCCTCTGCTCAGCTCCTCCCCCTTCCCCAGCCTGAGCCCAGGGCCCCCCTCTGACCTCTGACCTCAGGTTTGGCTTCTGGCCAAAGGTGAGCCCATAGATCTTGGTGAGATAGTTGGCAGCGAAGTCCACACTGATCAGGGTGTTTGGCAGGAATCGGGGTGCCAAGGTCAACTGGAAAGGAAAGAGTTGGGGCAGAAAGACCAATGGAGGGAGGAGGTCAGCTCTGGGTCCCACTGCCTGCTGCTCATCTGGGCCCTTCGCTCGTCCCCTCCCAGCAAATGCAGCCATCTGGCCTGCTGTCCCCTTCCACTGACAACACAAACTAGAACGTCCACAGCCCCCCACAGCCCTGTGCTCAGCACTCAAAGCCCACCAGGCCTGTCCCCTGCCCTGCCTGTCCTCCTTGTTCTCACCCCTCCCTGGTCCCTGACCTTGGCTCTCTGTCCAGCTGCAGTGAGCACCCTGCTTTCCCAGGCGCAGCCCACAGTGACCACCCCTCATTCATTCAGCAGCAGAGCCTACATCTACAACATTCCAGGCACGGGTCCAGGAGCTCGCTGGGCATGTCCTTGACAATAACACAGAGAAGTCCTCTGCCCACCCCCCACCCCCCACCCAAGCGTACATCCTAGTGGAGAAGATAATAAACAAGGAATAAAAGTCTCTGATAATGATCACTGCTATGTAGGGAATTCAAACAGGCTGCAGACAGAATGACTGGGTGGGGTGCTCAGGGAACAGGTGACAGGCACTTAAGGCATGACGGCACCATAAATGCCATCTGAGAGGAGAGCATCCAAGGCAGCAAACCCAGCATGGGAGGTGGAGGGCGGGAGAGGGGCAGGAGAGAGTGGGTGGGACCATGAGTTAAAAGAAGCAGGGGGCAGTGTGCCTTTCATTCTGGACAAACGGAAGGCAAAGCTTCTGGGGGGTTTTAAGCAGGGAGGGAGGATGTAGGGGAGAAGCAGGCAATGATGCTTAAAGGTCACTCTGGCTGCTCTGAGGAGAAGGGGCAGAAACGAGGAGGCAAGGATGCCCAGCTGCAGGAGAGTGGGACAGGGGGCGGGGCTCGCAGGGCTGCCTGGCGTGGTGAGAAGCACCAGGACTTTCTCTCCACTCGGGCCAGCAGTACGGTAGATGGTTGGAGACCACCTCCACAGAGATGGAGAGCAGCAGGAGCGCTGGGGGCTGTGAACAGGAAGCAGTCCTACTTCCACTGGACATGTAGGGGAGGCGGCCAGGAGGCAGAGGGTCTTTGAGTCTCAGGTGGGAGGTGAGGAAGAGGCTGGAGGCTGCCATGGATGAGGCCATTGTGGAGACAGTTCAGAGAGAAGGGGCCGGGACAGAGCCCTGGGGCACACCAGCTATTTTGAAGTCGAGTGTCTCTGTGCCTTTTCTCATGATGTCCCTTGTACTGCAGTGTCCTCTGCCTTCGAATCCCTGCCTGAACTCCTGCATCCCTTCCTGGTCCTCTACATGCTGTCTCCTCCTCAAAGCCCCGAACATGCCCTCGCCTGTGGAGATGAGCTACACTCTTGAAAGCCTTGGCCTCTGTCTTCATTCACTGACAGCTCGGATGCCCCAGATTAAGGGGTGGGGTCTGGGCCTGTCTGAGCAGCCACAGGGACCCAGTGGCCAGCCCAGAAGAGGCCCTGAAAGCTCCCTGAACTTGCCTCTGACACCAGGGGGCATGGTCAGCACACTTCTTCCCTGCGGTGGGCCCTCACCTTGTTATTGGCCAGGTACAGGTAATTGAGGTTGGTCAAATGCTCAAACGCCTCCTCCGGGAGCCCTTCAAAGGACAGGCATCGGTCAGAGCCCTGGATGAAGGAGACGCTACAGGGGAGCACGCCAGCGCCGAACCCCGAGCCCACCCCACTCCAGGACTGGAGACAGAATTCCCTGAGGCAGGTGTGACTCTGCTCTCTTCCCAGCCAGTCCCAACAGGCCTTCCCAGCCTCCTCCTCACAGGACCCCCGGCCCAGAGGAGCAGGTGGGCAATGTCCGCTGAGGGATGACTAGTCCCTCACCTGTTCAGGGACACCTAGGTGGGAATGGGTCCCTGTAAGGTCAGGCCATGGGACGGAGGACCCAGACTGACATTTTCCCTGCCAGGAAGGAGTGCTGGGTGCAGCTCCAGAGGATCAAACCCAGCCCCGTGGCAGGGCGCCCCACCATCCGGCCCCCACCGCCCCGTCTAGTGTCAGGATGGCCGTCACTGGGATCCCGGCCAGGCTGGCCCCTCTCCAGTCCTGAGGTCGGCCCATGACGCTGGGTTCCAGGCTCCCAGACCCTCAGATGCTGGGACTCACCCAATTATCTAGCGAGAGGGAACAGTTACATAAACTATGCGGCATCCCTCCCTGGGATACCCTGCGGCTGCTGTGTGAAATGACGGCCACGGGGAGTTCTAGCAACATGAGAAGGGCTGCTGAGCTAGCCGCTGAGTGAAACGGAGCACAATAGCTATAATACCTACTTTATAAATCCAGTGCTGAACGAAAACCACAGGGAGAAAAGACAAGATTGGATTGTGATGATGGTTGCGCAACTATAGGTGACTAAAACTCATCAAATTGTACCTGTTAATTGAGTGAATCTTAAGTATACAAATTATACCTCCATAATGCTGCTTTTTAAAAATGGAAAGAAATGTACCAAAATATCAACAGTGATGAACTCCAAGTGGCAGAATTATGAATAGGCTTTTTATTTTCTTTTTTATTTTTCTACATTTCCACCCTTTCTATTATAATCAAAATTATTTTCATCATCAGGAAAAAAACACACATTTTAAAATTTGAGGGCCCCACAACTCCGACTTTAAAGGCCTCTGTGAACTGAAGAGTCTATGATAAAGGTCTCTGAAGCCTCTCCCCTGCACCAGCTCCCAGGTCTCAGAGACACCCAGGGGTGGCTTTTAGTCATCGCCCAGGACCCTCTGCCAGCCCAGCCCAGACCTGCCTTTTGCCACATCCCGGGGACTGCAGGGTGGGGCTCTTCCCGGGGGCACCCAATCCCCACGCTGGGGGCCCCGTCCCAGGCCCTGGGTGACCCCTCACCTCGGGAAGTCAGGCGGTTGTTCTGAAGGTTCAGAGTCTCCAGCCGCTGCAGCCGGGAGAGCTCCCCAGGGTAGATCTTCTCTAGCTGGTTGTTCTGGGGAGTCGGGGACAGGGGTGGTGAGGAGGCAGCAGCATGGGGGGTGGGCCCAACCCTACCCTCAGCCCCAGTCTCAGGAGCCAGTCCCTTTGCAGGGCGCCTCTGTCTGGGATTCTCCCGCATGGAAGACAGACCCGGCGACCAGCTCCGGGCCAAGCCTGGATCTGGGTGGTAGAGGCAGAGCAGTGACCACAACAGACGTGTGGGGCCCGCAGTCTAGGAGCCCACACATGCATGTCCACAGGAATTTCCAGCTTGGAGTGTCATCTCCCCTTCAGACCTGCTCCCCACGTTCCTGCGTCGTCCCACTCCGTGACAGCCTGTCCTCCCCACGCCCAAGCCAGAAACCACTTTTGTTCCCTTCCTGGGCTCTACATGTCTCACTCCCCTCGGAGGTCTGGGTCTGGAGCCATCTCCTCCAGAAGCCTTCCTGGGTCGGACTGGGAGCTAGATTAGGAGCTGCTCCAGGCCGCACAAGTAGCCCTTCTCTCTCCACCTGTCACCCTCTGCGCTTGTTTAGGTCTCCGCCTCCCCCACAACTGGGAATGCCTCAGAGGCAGGTGTCCAGTCCTCTCTGTGTGCCCAGCACCCGACGTAGGACCAGAGGTGGAGAGCTGGTACCCAGGAGGTATTTTATGAATGGAGGAGTGACTGGGTGAGCCAAAAATAAGTGCTGTCGTCACCTTGTCCTTTTCCCCGTAGGCTCCCCTGGCCTTGGGCTCCCACCAGGGCTGTGTGACCGTGGGCAGGTCACTTTCCTTCACTGGACCTGGCCTCTGGAAACAGCCTCCAGGGCTCCTGGGCCACAGGAGGGGGACTGGGTACCCCAGCACTCTCAGAGCCCCCATCTGGAATTCCGAGTCCACTTCCGATACTGCAGCAGGAGAGCGCACTCTGTCCTCCAAGCCCCCAGAGCACTCGGTCAGGGTCGGCTCTGCCCTCGTTTTCCTGGCTGCTAACAGCGTCTGAGATTCAGCCGCAGGGCAGGTCTGTGTCCCTGTCCAGACAGGGCCTGACACTCCTCACAGGCCTCAGCCCAGACTCCTCCCAGGGGAAAGAAGCGGGTGACATCATGGTGCTCTATGACCCGGACAACAGAGGGAACCCCCAGGGTGGAGCCAGATCCGAGTGTCTGACCTGCCCTAGCACCCCAAGTCTGGGTGTGTGGAGCCAGGGGCACTGGGGGTTCCGGGCAAGCAGGGAGCTGTGGGCAGGAGCCATGAATGTGGGGGCAGTCCCCGGTGCCCACTGGTGCAGTGCCGGTCTCACCTGCAGGGACAGGTGGTTGGTATGCTCAGGCAGGTCCCCTGGGAATTCATGCAGGTCGATGCCGCCGCAGTCCACGACCCCTTCCTGGGAGCAGGCACAGTCTCGGGGGCAGTTAATGGTGGCCGGGCCAGGCCCCAGCTCCTCCGGGCTCAGGACCAGCACGGGCTCCTCCTCCACAAATTCGTTCTCTTCAGGACTCAGGCTATGGGTGCCACTTCGACCAAACACAGGCGCCCTCACGGCGAGCACCAGTCCGAGCTGCAGCTGTGGCGGCAACAGCAGCAGGAGCAGCAGCGCCCTGCTCCGGGCCATGGTGCCTGCAGGAGGGGTCGAGTCAGACCCGCCGCGGAAGCAGGGCCAACCTAACCTATTAGGTACAGTTGGCACAGGGCTAGGGCCTACAGAAGGCCTAATGGAGCCCTCCCGGCATCAGGCAGAGCCCACTCTGGATCCTGTCCTCGCATGCACCTGATCTGGTGGCTCCCCATCAGGGCTGCCCTCTGGAGGGGTGGCATGAAGCGAAGCCCTGTTTCTAAGCAGGTCTGAAGAGCCTCCCACAACCCTCACTGGGCCTGGGCCTGAAGAATCTGTACCCCTACTTCACAGAAGGCAAGCCGAGGCCCAGGAAGGACTGTGACGTGCAGGGCTTGGCCTGGGTTTTGCTGAGCTCCCAGATGGGCAGCGCTGGGAGGCCGTGTCCCTCCTCCAGGTGCCACAGGCCTTGGTGGGCCAGACCAGCACGGCCGTCCCAGCTCTTCAGCTTGCCATTCTCGGGTCTTCAGGACTTGGCCCTGCCTGTCTTCCAGTTCCACACCCACCTGGCCCAGGTATACAGGTCTATTCAGTAGTCCCTCCCTCCAGGCCTTTGCACACCCTGCTCCTTCTACCTGGAATGCCATCCCCCTCTCTGGGGTGGGATAGGTTGTGAGAGGCGGCAGCTCGGGTACAGGGACTATGGAGTCCACAGACCCCAGTCTGTGTCCCTGCCCACCACTTAGCAGCTCTGACTTCACTGAGCCTCAGCTTCCTCATCTCACAGATAATACTTGTCTGAACTCTCAGTTTCTGTGAGGAGTCCACAAGGGAACAGCCGCAAAGCACCTGGCACCCACTGGTGATGAGGCGTGGCTATCAGTACTGCCATGAATACAAACGCCAGGGCAAGTGTGCAGGCCGGGGGCACTGCGCCCGGGTCTGAGCCTATCCCCCTCCCTTTAGGGCAGGGACCACAGCCCACAGAGCCATGGAAGGGTCTGACATGCTGGTGGGCCTGGGTAAACTGGAAGCTTCCTGACGACACTGATGTCTGTTCAGCAGGCTCTGGAGTCACACAGTCGAGGCTGCGAGCTGGGCCCTGGCTCCTTCCAGCTGTGAGGCTTTGGGCAAGTGTGGGGCGCCCTCCAAACCCAGCTTCCTCCCCATGCCTGGGCTGGTAACAGGGTAGTCCTAACAAAAGACTGAGAGTCCGTGGGATGAACATACCGCACATAGTAAGTGCTCAACGAATGTTGGCTCCTCCCACCATTAACGTTGGATCTGCCGTCCTTGTTCACACCCCAGCCACACCATTGCCTGCTCCAGAGCCCCCTGCTTCTTACCCTTCCCTGTCTAGATCCTGCTGTGCTTTTTGGTCCAGTCCCAGGTCCACCTCCTCCCAGAACTTTTGAAAGGTGTGAAGGTCTTTTCCCTCCTTCCCAGAGGAGGGAAAAGAGGGGTGGCCACCAGTCTTGCTGGACCCTATATATCCTCAAGGCCTAAGCAGACTTGGGCCCCCAAGCCCTGGCCTGGCAGAGAACCGGGGAGCCCAGCACACACAGAGCCCCGGCTCCAGGGGTCAGTCGACTACAGCCTGGCCCTGTGCCTACCACACTCCGGCTTGCCCCGTCCCCTGACCAAATGGACAATAAATCCTCAGCCAACACATAGACCATCGCTCCTATGGCACATTATAACCCCTGGCAAGCTCCACAGCCTCCAACCCCTGGAGCACCGGCATTAGTCTGTCTGACCCTGCTGCAGAACGGGACTGTGGGAGGGGGTGCCAGGCACAGGTCCAGGCCCCAAATTCAATCAGGGCAGAAGGCCAGGCAATGGGTTCTCCCCACATATCCTGTGCACTCACTAGGCCAGCTATTTTTCCTCCCTCACCTTCAGCTTTGCGTCTGTGAAGATCTGTGAACTGTATCTGTAAAAATATTTAATTTATATTAACATTATGAGCCATATTGAAAATGTTATCATCACCGCTTTATGGATGAGGAGCTGAGGCCCAGCGGGACTGGCCAATGTAACACAGCTGTTCAACGGCAGAGCTGAGCTCCCAGCCCAGGTCTCAGCCATGATGCTGTGGCTAATGCAAAGCCCAGCTGGGCACCGAGGACCCAGACAGACTGTTTGGGCACGGCTGCTGCCTTTAAGGAGCCTACACCTGCACCGTCCAGTGTGGTGGCCACACGGGGCTGCTGAGCACGTGAAGTGTGGCCAGTCTAAACTGAGAGGTGCTGTAAGTGCAAACTGTAGTGTGCGTGGGTTTCAAAGACTTAGGACAAAAAAGAATGCAAAATATCTTGTTAATATTAATGGTGTCATAAAATAGCTCATTTATCATTATATTGATTACATGATAATATTTTTAATCTATTGAGTTAAATAATTTGTTAAAATTAATTTTTGCCTGCTTCATTTTACTTTACTGCAGCTTCTAGAAAGTTTTACATTACATATATGACTTGCATTTGAGGCTCACACTGTATTTCTATTAGACACGAGGTATAAATAGCACTCAGAGCTCACAGTGTATGTCTATTGGACGTTATGTGTAAAGTGAGCATCATAATTCCACTGTCATCAGAGGTGTGATGAAGGGAAGCGAAAGTCCATAGTAACTCAGAGGAGGCCCAACCCTGCCTGGGGCCGAGAAGGCTCCCCAGAAGAAGGGGTGTTTCACTAGCTATGAAAGATGAGTATCAGGCAAAAGGGAAAGGGCGCTACAAGCAAGGGGCAGCCTGTGCAAAGCTCCGGGGGCAAGGCTGCCCATGTTATGACCTCTAAAAACCTCCAAAAGTGGTAGAGGTTGGAGCCTGGGAGTCATACCAGTGGAGAGTGACACAGGTCCAGGCAAAGAAGGGACTTGAAAGCCAGGTTAGGGAGAGCGACCCTTACCTTCAGGGAGATGAGGAGCGTGGCCCTGGTGGGTTTATGCACAGACAGTGCGGAGCTTTCGGGGGCTGTGCAGTGGTGCCGGCAATGGTTGTTGAGCCTCTTCTGGCAGACTGGGAGGGGCCGGGCTGCAGGGGTGGAGAGGAAGCTGGATTCAAGGGAGATCAGACAGGGCTTAGAGAGTGGTGACCCAAGTGCCACCAGCCTCCCTCAGGACCTTGGGATCCTGGGCAGCCCCAGCTCCACCACTGGTTTGCTGTGTGTCCTGGGCTACATCCCTGACCCCTCGGAGTGTCAATTTTTGTTGTTGTTGTTCTAAGAGTGTTGAGCAACATAAGCCCCCAAGGCCTCTTCTATGTGCCTGGCCACACTGAAGCTGTGTGTGGAAGAATAAAGGACAGAACAGACCCCTTGTCTCTGGAAGTCCCCAGAGTGAGGAGTTCCACTGGTGGGGGGCACCTCACACCTTTGTGAAAGCAGATGCTGGGTGAGAGGGGCAACCCAGCCTGTGGGGAGCTCGCGTCCTCCTATGGAGAGCTTCAGTGACGGAAGTGTGTGGGGTCCAGTCCTGAGCCCAGATGAGTCACTGCACTGCTCTGGGCCTCTGTTTACTAGTCTGGGCAATGGAGACGCAAGCCCCTCATGAGGATTAAATAAAATAACAAGCCCAGCTGAGGCCGGCACCCAGCAAGTGTGAGCTACACACACGGGTTACTGTTACTGAGGACACCCCTGGGACCTGCCGCCCTCCCACCCCAAATCTCAATGCTCTGATGGGCTGAAGTGTGGGATTAAGGCAGGAAGAAGAAGGAAGGGGAAGGAAAATCTTCAAGTTAGGAGGCAGATCCTTAACCCCAAGCATGACCTTACTCCTCCACTCAAATTCAGTGAAGACTTGCTGGTCACCTGCTCTGCACTGGCCCCAGACAACTACATCTTATAGACCCCCAGACTAAGAGTTAGTCTTCTGCTCCTGCCCCCTTGGCTGGGTTCGGGAGCTCCTCCAGGCTCCCACAGCACCCCTGCACACATGGCACCGAGGTTCCAAAAACATTTGCTGAATAAATGAATGAATTTGTGAAAGGCAGAGTTGGAAAAGATCTACAATATTATCTCATCTGACTCCCTGTTTACACATTAGTACGTTAAGGCAAGACCAGGACTAGAACTTGTGCCTCTGTCTCCTGCCCAGGGCCTTGAGCTGCTCTTGAAGGTTGAGTAGTTCTCCAGGTGGACTCCAGGCAGGGCGCAGGGCATAAGCAAAGGCAAATGTGGGGAGAGGGGTGGGGAGAGTGAGGTATGCTTAAGGAAGGGTGAACAGGATGGCGTCCACCTCTGCAAGGCATCAGCCGCCACACTGCAGTGCTGGTGACAGGGAGCCACTGTGGGCTACAGGCAAGTCATGGTCAGAGCTCTTGTGTGTGACTCTACCAAGCCTAACGGTACCGCCATTAGTCACCCTGGACCCACAATTCAGATAAAAGGGACAAAGTATGCTCCCACAAGCTCTCATGAAAAGTCATGTGAATCTGACATTTATTAACTTGCACTCTGGGCTAGAGTGGATTGGGCCCGGGGCCCTAGAAGGGGACAAGATCGACCAGGGGCTCTCCCAGTTCACACCAGTAGTGTCCTTGGAGCCAGGTGGACCGCAGCTTCGCTTTCCGGGGCTGCTCACATCCCAGGGCTCACGCTCAGATGGCCGGTGCCCTGCAGTTCCGAGATGCACTCTAGCGCCGGGCGCGCGTCCCACTGAGCCTCCCAGACAGGGGGCGTCGGCGCAGCCTGCACGCTAGTCCCTGCTCCTCTCCTGATGTTTGGGCTGCAGCTGCCTCCCAGTCCAGCCCAGCCCCAACTCCAGCTCCACGGGCCATCAGCAGCTCTGACGCCACCTGCTCTTCCACCTGACCGCGCACCAGGTATTCTAAAGCCGCAATCTCGTCCCCACCCCACGCCCGGGGTGGCGGTTCAGGGACCTACGACCTGGGGTTTTCTCCGCATTAGCGGGAGGGCGACGACCCCCTCTGTCCGCCCTCCGAATTCCCCCTCTTCAGTCCAGCTGCCCCAGCGGGAGGCAGTCACTTAGACCAACCAACAGACACCAGGCCACCAGCTAAGAGTTCTGAGCTGGGGAGCCAAGCCCCAAGACGGTCCCGGAGGTGGGCGCGCGGGCTCCTCCTCACCTGTCCGCACGTCCTAGGGGCAGATTTCTGCCCCTCTATAGGCCTCCGTTTCTGTCTGTACAGAGGTCGAAGGGTGGACTAGCTGGGATGAGTGGAGTGGAAAGACACAGGGTAACTGAGGCGGGGCTCTAGGTATGGGGGTCCACGCCCCCTACCCAGTTCCACCTGCCCCTCACATTCTCTGTCGCCCGCCCGTGTCCTCCCACTTCCCCCGCCCATCCGCCCTCAGATTCTTTCCAGATGTGCGCAGCGGGAGGGGCCCGGGGGCTGGGACCAGCCTCTCTGGCCAGAGAGGAGAAAAGGCCCCTGCCAGGTCCCAACGGATCTTGAAGGGGTTGCGCCCCCCGAGGGAGAGCTCCCCACCCTACCCTCGGTGCAGGGTTTAAGAGGGGAGAGATGCGAGAAGCGGTGGTCCCACTTGGGCGGTCCGCACGCACCCGGCGGGAAGTCCGAGTTCGCTGGCTTGGCCCCGACCCCATGCCCCCCCCCCCCCCACCGCGGCTCACCGGCGCCCGGTACCTGCTTCGTCCCCGCGCTGCACCCTGTCCCGCCGGCCGAACGCGCTCCTCTGAGTCCCCGCTGCGCTCTGCGGGAGCGGGCTCCTTCCATTCAAGTCCAGCCGCGCGCTCGGCGACGCAAGTTTTGTTGTGGGTTTCCTCCTCCCCGCCTTTCCCCCGCCACCCCTCCCCACTCCCCGCGTGCATCTGCTGGACACGGGCCTCCTCCGGACACGGGCGGAGGGTCCCCACAGGCGCTGGGAGGGGACGACTGCCCCTTCCCCACGTTGGACTGTGCCGGGCCCCACTTCCCGGGAAGGCGGTGCCGCAGGACCGACCCCTCTCCCGTCCGGGCCCTGGCGGGGCCACTGAACCACTCCCCACCCCACCCACCAACCCAGAGACTGGAAAGGCGGGCTGTCTAGTCTGCAACTATTTCTAGTTCCCAGGCTTCCGCAGTGGGACTGGACCCCTTTTAGGCCCCAGCTCCTGAACGACGGTCGGGAAGAGGGCCCCTTCCACCAAGTGCCTTTGAGAGCAGTTTCTTCGTCATGACAGATTTTGCAACTGCTCCAGGCACGAGTACCTTTCTGTTCACTCTCCCACCCTGGGGTCCTGGGCCATGGCTAATAGGGCAGCCAGCCAAAGACCCTGCTGGGTCCCTTCCCGGAAGAGCTCTCCGCCCTCCCCACACTCCTCACCCCCACCTTGGCCCTGGGCTCACAGCCTGGTGAGACTTAAAGGGAGGTAAATCGGGCAGGGGGTAGGGTGCATGAGGATCCCAGTCACGAGGAGACAGGGGGGTGAGCCCTCACCATGTTGCTCCCAGGAGCTGAAAACCTTTCCAAGTCAAGGAGCATTAACTACTAGCAGCTGAAGCAACACTGTTTGGTGCCAGGGGCTTTTGGCAGCGGTTGAAGGCAGTAGGGCTGGGTTTAGGTGGTACTTGGCACCTCCACTGCCCAACAAGGCGCACCCCTTATACCTGCTCTAGCCTTGTGGTCAGGGCCAGAGCTACCTTGCCCTCCTGCTGGATAGGGAGAAGGAGAAAAAACTCAAACTTAGGACCATTTGCTAAACTCAATTGCCAAGGCCATGAATGAATAAATGAATGAACGGCTCGTGTAAAGCTCCAGACTGTTCACTGGCTTCTGCGGCTGCATCCCGATGGCCCTACACGCACCATTCTGTAGTTTTCACAACCCTGCGCGAGAAGAGTTGCTGTTGCCCGTTTAGGGATAAGGAGACGGTCGCCTTAGGAAAGATGTGACTGAGTAACTGAGAGACAGGGTTGGGCTTAATCTTCCCCACAGCCCAAGTTCTTTTCATGATGGAAACAGGCAGGTGACTTGAACAGGCAAGTGCAGAGGCTGGATTTGAACCCAGGTCTTTCCGTTTCCGTTATCTCAAAAACTCAGGAATTTAGCAAGAAAGGGAAGGGGAAATATTTTGCCTTCTTTGGTCTCATATTCTAATTCTCTCTAAGCTCAAACGTACGAGCATTGGTATGATTCACAAGCTGGACAGGGGCCAACACAGATGCAGCTCATGTCTTCACATTGAGCAGAGTCGAGTAGGGCTAGAACGAGTTATTTGAATGCATGAACTAAAGAAAACCTTCTGGGACACTTAGAAACAGCACATACTGAGGACCTACTAAGTGCCAGGTACCATGTTAAGTCCTTAAATATTTTAAGGATTTATATACCCTGTGGGGAAAGGTATTCTCTGGTTTCCTGTAGCTGCGGAGGCCAGCCAGAGGGCACACCACATGTCTGGCCCCCTCCCCAACCCCAAGAAGTAGGCTGTCCTGTGGAATGCCAAGGCACTGCATGCCCACACCCGTGCTGCGGCTGTCCTGTGCTGCAGACAGACACAAGCTAAAATCATTTGTCTGAAGAATAATATGGAGGAATCACTTGGAGTATCTTGGGTGGAAAACTGGAGACAATCATGGTGCTCTACAAGCAAACCCTCGAACTGTCAGGAGGGCCGTAAAGGCAGAACTGAGTTTGCGGTGCAGGTTTCCTGACTCCACTTGTGCTGCTTCGGCTGCCCCGTGGTGTCAGCCCGTTCAAGTGCATGGGGTCAAGTACCAGCGTTGGACTTAGACTTGGGTTTAAATCCAAGTTGGATTCAAAAGAAGATAAAAATTGCACCTACACTTTACAGAATGTCTAAATTAGTAAGAAAATGGAAGTATAGGACTCTGCACAACACCTGGCACATGGTAAGCAGTCAAAAAAGCCAGCTGCCATTGTTACAAACTATTACCAAGACCTGACTAAACACCCAGGAAACATTAAAATAGAAATGATAAGTGGAAAGGCTTATACAGAAACCTCTGCATTGCCCAGGATCAGTGCCTCCTCATTCAAAACAGTAAGAAACAAGACCACTCAAGAGGCTAGACACACATATGGCTGGAGAGCTACAAGTGAAGGACAAGAAGACTTTCAGGAGGGTCTGATGAGGAAAAGGGGGCTATAAGGAACAAAATAAGGGGAGATACGGTCTTGTTATACTTCATCATCAGAGCACTCAAAATCTTTCCTTATTAAGCAGCAGAGTCCCAAATACTGAGGTACGGCAGCAGTGTGATTTTCTGGATGTTTAGAAATCAGATCACACGATGTTGTTTTGTGTATACGGATTCCATCTGAAAGAGCTTGATAAAGACATTAAAGGAGAGCAGGGTGTAATGGGAAAACCACAGGTCAAGTCAGGTACTGGAAGTCTTCTGGGCTCTTAGAACATCCCACACAAACTACTGTTGGACTTCTTCTGCCGTGTATCATGTTTTCTTCTGTCCCCCACTGGATTGTTAAACCCTCCCAGGCAAGAACCTTATGTTCTGTAAGGTCCCTTTCTAGCCCTGAAAAGAGCCTCCAGAGATGCCCACACCCTCCTCTGCAGAGCCTGTGAATGCCATACTACACCGCAAAAGGAACTTTGCAGACGTAGTCAAGGTTATGGACCTTCCAATGGGGAGCTTATCCTGGTGGGCCTAACCTAATCACACAAGCTCTTAAAAACAGAAGTTTATCTGGCTGGAGGTAGGAGAGATGAGGCAGAAGGGGACATCAGAGGGATCTGAAATGTGAGCACTCATCTAGCTTTGAAGATGAAGGGGATGCAACAGCCTGGCAGCAAGGACACGGGGGCTTCAGTCCCACAGCAGCACAGAACTGAATTCTGCCAACATCCTAAATGAGCGTAGAGCAGGTTCTCTCCCAGAGCCTCCAGGTAAGAGTCCTGGGCAGCCAACACCTTGACTTTGGCCTCATGAGACCTGGGCCTGAGAATCCAGCCGAACCCACCCAGGCTTCTGCCAACTACAGAACTCGGAAATAAATCCGTGTCAAGTTAAGCCACTAAGTTTGTGGTGATACGTGTACAGCAGCAAGAGAAAGAAACCTAATGCAAACGTTAATAACTAAAACTGACAGGTGGTACAACAGCATTCTCCTACACGTGACTTCACTTCATCTTCACGACGAGCACAGCAGTGTTGCCGTCCCTTCATTTGAGGGAACCGATGCTCAGGGAGGATGAGCGACTGGCTGGCTGGCTCAGGTGATCGGCGAACGAGCGCTGAGCCACAGCTTACGCTCCCGTCTTCAGGTTCCAACACCGGTGAGCGCTGGATCCCACACTGCAAGCTACCGTTCCATGGCTTGAAAACTCCACCTTAGGGTAGATTTAAAAAATGGACTAAAAAAAAAAGACAAAAACAAATAAAAGAAAATCAGGCTGCTCTCACACTGTGAAAGCTTAAAAGCTTTTGAATTCTCCTTTGTTTCTCCCAAAGATATCAAGTAAGTCATGGAACAAGTCAGGGTGTGAACAAAGAATGTTAAGAAGCATTGAGTCTTCTTTCCGGCCCATAGAAGAAAAATGAGTTTTGTGAATGGCAAAAGGAGAAATCCTCAAGAGAGTGGCTGTCAATGAACTATTTTCTCCCATTCAGATGCTCGCCCTGCCACTGTTAAGATGCGTCTTTCACGAGGAAATGCCAGTGGGAACGCCTCTGCGTTGGACACTTTCCGTCCACTCACGGCCAATCTTTCTTGTCAGAGAGCTCACCTGACTTTCACTCTGACACCTTTCTATGTTTCTTCCCATTACTTCTAATAACAAAGAAAAAGAATTCTTTCCCCTCTTTGCTCTTTCCATTTTTTATTTATTTTTAGAGGGAAGGGAAGGGAGGGAGAAAGAGAGAGGCAGAAACATCAATT